CGTTGAACGTGCACTTGCTCATGTGGCAGCTGTGGCCGTTGATCGCGCGCAGCTGGTCGCCGGCGACGCTCGGCGGGAGGTGCGCGGCGCAGCCGATGCCTGTCACGCGCGTGATGTACGGGTACTCGCTCTTCTCATCTGCGCCGTGGAGCGAGAGGCCGAGCGAGCCCTCGGCCCAGTTGAGGTCGTAGTACTGACGGCTCGACGACGACGACGAGATGCCGCGCGGAAGGGATGCAGGCGGCTGCGCACTCGTTTGCGCACTCGCCGACGTTTGCACGGGCAGAGACGCGCTCGGCGCCGACCGGAGCATGTTGTTGACGCCGCCGCTGTTGCTCGACGAGCTCGACCGGTGGATGTTGTCGGCCTTGAAGTGCAGCGTCACGGGCCGCGGCACCTTCTTGAGGTACGCGACGATGCGGGTGTACTCCATTTGGCGCACGTCGATCGTGTTGATGTGCGTCATCTCGTCGCCAATGCAGTCTTCCGTGAGGTGCCCCGCGGCGCCCGTGCCGTTGGTGCGCTTGATGTACGCGCCAGTCTCGTGCGGGATCGCGTCGATCGTCAAGCCAAGGGGGCCGTCCGGGCCCCACACAATCGTGTACATCCCCGCGTCGGCCGGGTGCGGCACGTCAATGTCCACTTCGACCTCGGCTTTCGGCTTCTTGACCGGCTCGGGGGCTGGCTTGGACTTGGGCTTGCGCTCGACGACCACTTCGGGCGCTTGCACCGGCAACGGCAGCAGCATCGAGCCGTTTGCGGTGCCATGGGCCGACGTAAACTGCATAAAGATAGGCTTGGGCAGCGTCTTGAGGAGGTCCACAATGTCCTCGAACGTAAGGACGGTCGTCGACTTGCCCTGGACGCTCGTGAGGTAGTCGCCCACCTGGGCGTACTCGACGCCCGGCGACGTGCCCTTGCCCGTGACCCGCTTGATGACGGGAAGGTCGCCCGGCTGCAGACCCGGAATGATCGTGAGGCCGAGCGGGCCTTCGCGCCAGTCGACTTGGTACGTCGTGCCGGGCGCAAGGCCGCGCGAGCTCACGGGCACCTCGGGTTCCTTGGCCTTGGCGGGCGGTGCCTCGCCCTTGGGCCGCGTCGGGACGCCGCCAACGCCGCGGAACGTGAGCTTCGCCGGCAGCTGCACCTTCTTGAGCACCGACATGGTGAGCGCGCACCCGAGCGAGACCGTGTCAATGTTGTTGATGGCGCAGAGCACGTCGCCGATCGCAATGTTCTCCTTGACGGCGACCGAGCCCGGCTTCTTGGTGAGGCGATGCACAATCGGAAGCGCCTCGGGCGACCCGTCGTCCTTGAGCGTGAGGCCCAACGGGCCGTTGCCCCAGCGCACTGTGTACTCGCGGATCGCGCGGTTGTCCGGGTCGGCGCTGCCAAACTTCATGATGAGCGGGTTGCCGTTCTCGGACAGAATCTCTTCCATCTCGGTTTCCGACATGGCGACGCCCGTGAGGAGCTGGCCGTTCACGGACAAGAGCACGTCGCCGATGATGATGTGCGAGAACGACTCGTCGGCGTCGACCTCGGCCAATTGGTTCCACGTGCCATCCGGGCCGGCGCAAAAGCGCATCTGCGGACGAAAGTCGAGCTTCCACACGACAATCTTGAGCGAGAGGAACGCGGCGCACTTGTTGTTCCACGTCGGCGGCGTCGCGGGATCGGCCGCGACGACAGGAACGACGGCGGTCGGCGTCGGCACCGGATCGACGTCGATGCTGCGCTGTGATCGCATCGGCTTGTCCGCCGACGGCGACGATCGAGACGAAGCGCCCTTGTCCCGCGACGAGCCGCTCTCTTGACGCACCACCGGCGCTGGCGGCGCGCGCTTCCCGGGCTCTTCCTCGACGACGGCCGAGAGGCTTCGGCTGAGCGATCCTTGCGAGATGCTGTTTTTTCGGGACCGGCTGCTGGAGCTGCCCGAGAAGAGGTGGCCCATTTCCTTCTGGAGTCGGATCTTGACCTCCATCGCAATCCGGTTCATGTCGGCGTCGGTCCACGAGGCGTTCGAGAGCACCATCTGCGACTCGATGGCTTGTGCAATGCGGTTTTCTTCTTGCTTCTTCAGTCGGCGCATGATCTTTTCTTCGATGCGGCGCTCAATGTCCGAGTCAACGCGGTGTCGCTGCCGCCCTTCTTGCCGCCGCCGCCACCACCACCATTGGCACTGCTGCTGCTCGATTGTTGTTTGGTGAGCGTGGCCTTGCCATTTTTACCACCACCGCGCGCCGGCTGCGGCGGCTCGTCTTCTTCGCTCGACTCGTCCGAGGAGTCGTAGTACGACTCATCACTGGAGCTGCCGTCGGCTACAGTGTACATTCATGAGGCGTGTGGCCCACCTCGCGCAAGGCACGTACACTCGTCGTCGTTAAACTTGGAGCAGCGCAGGTTTCTGCACCGCAGGCGATGTGAGGAGGCATGGTACGTCATGCATTCCTACGCATGATGAGGCCAAGCGTCCATCGCCGCTGCCACGTACCCGGGAGCAATAGTACACTTCGCCGCAGCCGCTCGAGCACGGGATCGTCGCGCCCGGCGCGCCGCAGTTGCCGCACGGCTCACTGGCCTGCAGCGCCTTGAGCAGCATGTCGTCGTCGTCGTCGTCGTAGTTGGCTCCACCATAGCGTGACATGATGATGAGCAACCTCTTCCTCGCCCGTGGCCGTCTCCGGGCTGTTTCCCCAAGAAAGAAAATATATCTCTACAAATGTATTCACCAATGACGACAGGGCCGGTGCCGCTGATTGGCTTAAAGTCCTCCGCCAATCGCAGTCGCCCAAGCATTAGCTTCGGAGCGTGTTGCACGGCGTTAGTCTCCCGTCCGTCGCCTTCGTTGGAGTATGCAGCATACAACGCCGCAGTGTTGCGGTTCAGTGCCGATTGGTAATGGTTTGGGCAATTAACACAGATCCTCCATTATAAGAGCAATAAAAGTTGTTGCCTATGTGAAGGAGCCCATGGACCGGAGTTGGTGTATTTTTTTCACGCACCGGGAAATAGACCTGCGCCGAGGCTGTATATGCAGTGTATTTTTAAACCACGTGAGAAACGACAGTGAGTAACGTAGGAAATTGCGCTCGTCGACAGCCATCTTCCCACTTGAGGCTGCGACGACGCGGGCGAGGCGCCAGCGTTACGCCCGTTCGACACCACACATCTATCGCTCCAAGCAGAGTGGCGTCATGCAAAAGAAGGCTCCTCGTCTCGGCAACGAACCCTATAAGATATTAGTAGTACTGGTAGGAGGCGAATAAGCCGCGATAAGAATCCACTTCCACCAGCAATTATTACTACGAGAAGAAGATCGACCCAAACATCCAGCGGATTATGCAAGGCGATCGAAGATGCGACACGGTCACACGGCAGTCTTGAACTGAATTGCCGCGGATGGCAGTCTGTGGTCTGTGCCAAGTTGCGAGGCAAGAGGCCGGCGCCGATCGAGATGGGCCACCCATCCTCGTTCAGCAATGCCAGCAGGCCGCGCACGACCAATGAGCAACATTGCAGCGACCGCTACCGAGATGATTTACGGCGAGACACGACTTGCGCATCTGGCGAGTTGATTTCGGTCAGGTGCGACTCGCGCATCCGGTCATCAGTGATGCCATGCGTTCTTCGTGCGCATGCGGAACAAGAGCCGCGCAGGTATAACCTTGCACGCACTAGTACCCGTAGCAAGACCTTGGTACTAGTTGAGCTCAAACAATGCTCTTTTGGAGCCAAAACGCTGGCTCGAATGCGAGTGTGGCGTGAAGACCTCGTACCGCAATTCTAGCCCATTGCGTTGGAACGCGATCAGCTGGCAGCCTCGAGACGACGACAGGGCCCACGGCACAAGGTGCTCGCCGCCACAACCCTCAACATGCAAGGAATGTGCTTGGTTGTGGTTTCTGACACTAGACCTCTGGTATTGTACCTCTGGTACGCAGCGCGCTCAAGAAATTCCCAGATCATGCAGCACATATTGGATTGTGGATTCAACGTCCACATGCACTACCGGATATACTATCCGGATAGTGTAGCCTCGTATCCGGCACGATATACATGTATCCTGCGACGATGACCGAGGCGCTTGCCGGCGTCCGCGCTGTCCTGAGCTGCGTCATCGCCCATCAAGATGCCACGTCGTACCCAGCCGCGTGCTTTGAAGAGCACTGCACAGGTACGCGCCAAGGTAGCGACGCGAAATCTCATACGATCGCCAAGATGGCTACGCCATGCGGCTACTCCACGGCGCAGCGCCAGATTCGCCGGCGGCGCACCGATTGCACAACGTACGACGCTGGCTCGCCGTTTAGAAGCGTTGTACATGGTAAAGCTATGCATAGCTCATCGAGTTTGGCGTCTCGGAATGTCTCGAGCGGCGGTGCCTCGACGCGCTGACGTTCACGGTGCACGACACGGCGACAGGCAGTCTACGTCGGCTTGTGCTCCGCTTCGCCTACGCAGCGAGTGGTGCGTTGTCGCCAACGCCACTTGTATGGTCATGGCCGCCGTAGGCATGCCAGCTTCGCCGATCGTGCCCATGCTCAAGCAGGTCGCCCTGCTGCTGGAAACGGTGCGACTGCAACGAGATTCGCAACTCATTGCGAGTAGCTTCAACCGATCCCATCCCCTTCGTTTGTCCAGCTCACGCTGCGTCCTGGTACATGCGTCGATACCACTGCACCTAGTAAAGAAAACGTCCACGGGCACCGTAGAGTGCCTACCCTACCCAAGTTGGAAGCCTGCGTACTATGTCCCGCCGTCGTCGCTTCCGCCGAACGCCACATCGCTCGTCGACTTGCCTTTCGGGACACTGCGAACATTGGACGGGGTGCATATGCAGTGCCTTCTCCAAGCAACCACCAACGCAGCATCCGCGTCCGTGCCTGCCTTTGACGCGTACTTCGACTTGCCGGCTACTCCAGCACGGGTACAGGCGTCGACAACGAGACCCTTCGTCGTCATCCAACGTTCTTGTATAGCTTGACGACGTCCTTTGCTTGCCGGTACCCAAGTCTGTCTGGCCCACGTCGTCGTGCGTCGCGCAGCCTTTGCATCAGCGAGCGGCCACGAGCCAGCCATGTGCAGCTGAAGCCGCCACAAGTATCCTGCAGACAGTGGGTAGCGCTGGGGATGCGCAGGGTTCCTTCGTTAAGGAAGCGACAAGCACCTAATGCATGCGTCGATGGGAACCAGGGTCGGACGCAGAACCAAGGAGCTTGGAGGGCGCAAGCGACATGCCCATCCAACGCTGGCAAAGACGAGACGAAGATTCGCTTTTGTGATTGGCTGCCGCCTGCGACAAGATCTTCAACGTCGGGTGTGTTTAAAACACTGGGCGAGGATACAAACACGCCACTTAAGACTGGCGCCCGTGTCTTTGGCTGCTCGCTGGTCATACTATGCGCTGGCGCAAGCACTCTGCGTTATCCCAGCTACTCGAGTCATGGCGCTGTAGCCTACGCATTTCGAGGGACGCTTCCGTGGCCATGGCATCGGACCGCTTCATCTAAACCCGGCTCGCCGTTCTCTCTTGGCGTCTTGCGGCCAGCCATTAAGCTTGTGAGCCCTTGTCGCGACCTTGACGTGTCGCAGCGGTCTGTTCGTCGTTGGACATGGTCGTTGGGGTCTGGTGATGCGATGGCGGCACCTGGCGAACGCCCCACGAACTACGTTGGGTGCGCCTAGCGTGTTTAAAACGGCTCACCAAGCTCGTCATGTCAACACAGAAACACGCGGCCGACCAAGATCGCACGGGACGCTCACAACTTAATTGGCCACATTCCAGCATGATCCAAGACCACAACGAAGCCGACTGCCCCGTGTATGCGCACCCGGCCTGCGCCCGCGACTGCCCCACCGACACCTTTCCCGAAGAGGCCATGCCGGCCAACGTGGCGTACCAGCTCATCTTCGACGAGCTCGCGCTCGACGGCAATCCGAGCATGAACGTACGTCTGTCATTGATCGATCGATCGATCGCTAATGCGTGGTGCTAGTTGGCGTCGTTTGTGACGACCTACATGGAGCCCGAGGCCGAGCAGCTCATGCTCGCAGGGCTCAAGAAGAACTACATTGACATGGACCAATACCCGCAGACGGCCGAGATCCACAACCGGTGTGTGGCCATTCTCTCCAACCTCTTCAACGCGCCTGGCGTGCCCACGGGCACGGGTTGCGTTGGCTCTTCGGAGGCCATCATGCTCGCGGGTCTTGCGATGAAGCGCAAGTGGCGCGACCGCCGCCTCGCCGCGGGCCTGCCGGCCGACAAGCCCAACATGGTCTTTGGCTCCAACGTCCAAGTGTGCTGGCACAAGATGTGCAAGTACTTTGAGATCGAGCCGCGCGAAGGTACGCGATTGTCTCGTGATGTATGACCATGTCTCAAGCGGGTGTAGCCGACGTGTCGCCGGACGAGCTCGTCTTGACGGCCGAGCGCGCGCGCGGGCTCATTGACGAGAACACGATCGGCATCTGCGCGATCCTCGGGAGTACGTTCAACGGCGAATTCGAGAACGTCCAGGCCATCCACACGATGGCCGAGCAGCTCAACGAGATCCACGGCTGGGAGCTCGGCATCCACGTCGACGCGGCGTCGGGCGGCTTCATTGCGCCCTTTCTGCACCCGGAGCTCGTCTGGGACTTCCGCCTCCCGCTCGTCAAGTCGATCAACGTGAGTGGCCACAAGTTCGGGCTGGTCTATGCGGGCATGGGCTGGGCGCTGTGGCGCGAGCCCGAAGACCTCCCGGACGACTTGGTGTTCCACGTCAACTACCTCGGCGGCGACCAAGCGTCGTTTACGCTCAACTTTTCCAAGGGTGCGAGCAACGTCATTGCGCAATACTACAACATTGTGCGCTTGGGCCGCGATGGGTACCGCGAGATCTTGCTCCGCACCATGCACAACGCCGAGTACCTCCGCGAGCGCCTCGTCGCGACGGGGCACTTTGCGATCGTCGACAAGGCGCACATGCCGCTCGTGGCGTTCTGCCTCAACGAAGAGGAGGGCAGCAAGCCGTTTACGTGCTTTGACATCCAGGACAAGCTCCGGTCGCGCGGCTGGATCGTGCCCGCGTACACGTGCTCGAAGGGCGCCGAGTCGCTCGTCATCATGCGCGTCGTCGTCAAGCAGAACTTTACCAAGTCGATGGCCGACATGCTCGTCAAGGACATTGTCAAGGCGATCGAGTTTCTCGAGGCGCACTCGCAGCTCGTCGAGGTCGCCAAGCAGGTCGCGACGTCCGAAGACGACGAAGAGGCCCGGATCAGCATTGACGCGTTCGTTTTTGCGCTCGGCCACACGCTCGAGCACCGCAAGTCGGGCGTCCAGACCCAAGGCGTGTGCTAAGAAGCCCCTTCGGCGAAGAGTGTCGTGTTTTTGAACAAATCATACTGTGTGTCAACCAATTCTCGTGATCCAAGTGGGGGGTGGTCTCCGCTCCAGTGGACTTTGCCGAGCCTGCGAGCTAAGAGTAGAATCCAAGGCAATTGCGGCCAACAAGCAAGCGCGTGCGATCGCAGACGCCGAGCGCCGTCGTAAGAGCGCTGCGCCGATCGCGCCAGCAGCTCAACCTGCGCCGCCAGCTGAGCCACCTGCTTCACCGTCGACTGCAACACGCGCAACAGAGCCGCCACTGGTCTTGGAGACGAGCTTGAAGTTCTGCAACGGTGTTCGAAGCGACCTGCCGCCCGATGCAACGATCAAGCTCTACCAGTCGTTTGCGTTTGCCATGGGACGCTACCGCGCTCGCGATTGCCCCATCGTGCTGGCCGCGGGCTCCATCGGCGACGAGTGCAGCAAGTGCACGTCCAAGCGCTCCAACTTTGCTCGCGATGCGCGTCGGCTTGGCCTCGCATCTGCCAAAGCTTCTGACGAAGACGAAGACGACACCAATGCGTGGGTGCTCGCCAAGATCAGCGCGCTCTTGCCAGCACTGCGCACGGGACCGCTGAACGACATGCAGCAGGTCAAGATGCTACAGTACGCCCGCATTGTCGACGCGTGCCAGCTTCCGCTCAACGACGACGGCGTCGTGGACGGGAAAAAAGGTCGTCTTCTTCTGCCCGGCTGTCTCGATCGACGGCGCCGGCATTGACAACGTGCCGCGATCCCTCGCGCTCGCCAATGGTCACACGTACAAGGTTTGCGACCGTGACCGCCTCCGCCATGTGCAGTGCTCTCTTTAGAAGCAAGTTGCACGCCGCACCAACAACTTGGCCCGATGCGAGACCTGCGACAACATGAGGGCCAAGCTCGCCCAGCGACTTATCAATGCCGACGCCCGTCGAGTCGAGCGCCGAGATTCGTCGAGCCGCGCCAAGATCGGCGTCTTGTCGCCAGAGTCGCGCAGCGCTCGATTGAAGAGCGTGGTTGCACTGAAGGGCGTCGCCTCGAAAAAGCGTTTGATCTCGCAACTCTCTGCAGCCCTGGAAGTTGAGGAAGATGCGATGGCCGACGACGATTAGTTACCTCGTCCAAATTTTGCTAACGCCTGATGGCGCTTCGTCCGACGCATGTCAAGTGCCGAGCGGCCCAAAATAGATGCTTTTACACACCCTAGTTATTTATGGTTGCGAGCGCCTGCGCTTTACCTCATTCAAGCGGACAGTTGTCGAACCTCTACGCGCCCAAGATAATTCGATTTGTAGCGCTGGTCCAGGCACCACTGTACTCTCGTTGTGTGTAATTTTACGTCAGGAGCATAGTGTCGAACTGTGGCGTGTCTAGCGGACACTTGGTGCCGACAGCACGCGTCGCCACTTTGGCTAACGTTAATAGTCTTGCGTGAAGTGCCTCTCTACCTCACTTCAACTAGGTACAGTACAGCTCTGTGCTTGTCATCAAGTGAGTTGAAGAAGCGCTACAGACTGCACTGCGGCTCCTGACCGTACGTTTTGGCCGGTTGGTTACGAGCATACCGGTATGTCGCACTTGCGGCCCTGGCCGTGCATGTCTTTGCTCCAAGGTCATCGCTTGGACCCATGGTTTGGATCCATGCCATCGCGTGGTAGACGCACGAGTCGGTCGGTACCAGGTTAGCCTTTGCCAGTGGAGAATTGTCAATCCGGATAGAACAACAAAGTGTAAAAACTACAACGACACTAGTATTGAGGGATTATAAAACAGCGGAGAGCGCGACGCGGTTTAGGTCGAGTAGAGTTCGATCTTGAAGAAGAAGAGCGAGACGAAGAAGCCGATCGTGGAGAGGATACCGCCGACAAGCACGGGAAGCGCGTAGCCCATCGAGGACTGGACGAGGATCGACGAGAAGATAAAGTTGAGGAACTGACCGGCGCAGTAGGCCGAGTTGAGCGCGCCGGCAAAGAGACCAAGACCCGAGTTGTCTTCGCTGCCAATGACGTGGATGATGCAGGCCATGAAGAGCGACTGGATCGTGTTCTGGGTGAAGGCGGTGGCGATGACAATGATCATGTCAATAGCGACGACCTTGCAGTACGCGAGGGCGATGAGGAAGATTTGCGGGATGATGGCCACCGTGAGCACCTTCTTGACGCCAAACTTGCGCACAAGGTACGGGAGGACCGCAAGGAAGATAAGCGAGACGCAGTTGTAGATCGTGTCGGTGGAGCCGCCGGCGAGCTGGACACCGTCGTTGTAGGCGTTCTGCTGGGGCGAGCACGGGGGGTTGCCGTTCTGGCCGCACTTGTCAGCGCCCTCCGAGGTACCGCCCTTGACGACGAAGCCAAAGAACTGGCCCTTGGCGCCGTTGTAGGCCGTAAAGCCGTACTGGACGAAGACGATGATGACGCAGTAGATGGCAAGCGTCTTGGGAAGGAGGCGGATACCGGTCCAGACCGACGCAAACGCGTTCTTGATCTCTTCGGCCTTGGAGACTTCCTTGAGCGGCACGAAGACCTTCTCCTTGACGAACCAAAGCACCAAGCTCGACGTGATGACCATGACAGCGATGAGGAGACCCATGAACGGCTTGACGGTCTGGTGCGCGGGGCCGAAAGCCATGATGTAGCCCGAGACGACGAACGAACCGGCGATCGAGTAGGCGTTACCGAGCGACGAGGCCGTGACCTGGCGGTCACCGGCAAAATCGGCGATGAGGAGGTTGAGCGGCGTCTGCGTCAGGTTGAGCGTAATGTCCATCCAGATGTACGTCAGGATGACAAAGACGGTCGTCCACTTGCGCGAGACTTGGTCAACCGGGAGCGTGTCGAGCTCCTTCGCCGGGGTGTCGCCGAGGGCCTCACCAATGTCCGTGCAGAACATCATGACGACCCAGCAGAGGCACGACATGAGCGAACCCCAGAAGAGGAACGGGCGGCGGCGGCCAAACTTGGACGAGCAGTTGTCACTGAGGACACCGATGGAGGGAGCGATGAGGAGACCAGAGATGGGACCGACAAGCTGGACGATCTGGACCCACGACGACGAGATGAGGATGTTGAGAAGCGGGCCAATGGCAGCCCACTGCGCCGCCCAGGCGACGTTCAGGGCCATCTTAGGGCAGCAGAGGAGGAAGAGGAAGGCCGTCGAGCAGCCTTCAACGTGCTTGGAGACCTTGGCGGCGTCGTCGTCGTCCTTGGGCGTGACCGCCACGGCGTTGTATTCGGCTTCCTTGGGATCTTCGAGGTGCGAAGCCATCCTTGTGTTGCTGGAGGAGTGCGTCGAAGCAGGCAAATGTAAGAATGAAATTAGCGGCGAGAATCGAATCGGTTCGTTCCAAGCTGGTTCTGCTCGCGCTCCGTCGATGATCTGTAATGGCGCTTTTTTCCAACAGCTTGCTTGAAGCTCAAGGTGCCACCCTGGTACTGTCTCCGGCACAAGGCCATTGGAATTAATCATCTCGCTGTTTGTATACTCGCCCAAGAATTAACTTGCCCAGCTGGTTTGATCGCGTTTGCATCCGTATACTTGTGATTTGTATGTATCGTTCGTGCCCGTGTACCGTCGACACTACTCATGGGTGCTACTGGATTCTTCAACGAAAATCCGGTGCGACTGGGCAATCGTTTGCGGGTGGGCGACTTGCATACAAATATCAAGCTATTGTTGGAAGCACTGCCCACTGTTTGTCTTTGTTGGCTTCCGAGACGTGCCACCTGCTTGAAGCGACCGCGAATTCCTCCCAAGTATGATGTGACGCCGTCGTGGAGCTTCAAACGCTTGTTGTTTTACCCAACGCAATATATTCTTCTGCCAACACGTGATGCGCCGCCGGTCGTGACACGGCGTGGCGAGTGGATTTTGCCGTCATAATTCCAGTACTGAAATTAAAAACGGCCGATCACGTGGACGGGCGGGTTTGATGGGCGCCGATGGATGATCTTCAAGTGCTATCGACCCATTGTGTGGCTGCCTCGTTCGTTGGTGGTTGTCGTCGGCTGCTGTTTTACAGAAGATAATGCGTAGACGACATTGGGTGCAAATGAGCGAGGTACAGACACTGCACCGGGGCGATCATTTCCGTCGCGTCGCCATCGTTGAACGCAGCCTCTTTGTCCGCCTTGCGTTTCTACTTGAACCTGCCGTAACTTCAACATGTGTCTCTCTCGAAAATCAAGGTGAAGCTTGGGCAAGTATGGATCGACGCACTCGATTCCTGGCCTTTCTGAGCGTGGACTGCAGATGGCCCGCGTTTCTTTCGGCATGGAAAGTGTGCGACGAAAGATGCGCAGCGATGGCTTCTCGTGCGCCATTCGATTGACGGAGCCCGCGCCCCGCGCACCCAAGTGGCTTCTTCAAACTGATCCAGTACCAGAAATCAAGCCACTTGATTCTGCGCCCGCACATCACATCGTAGAGACACGCATCTGTGTCCTCTCTGTCCTACGTCGCACGCAACGTTCGCGCAACTGCGTCGAAGAAGCTCCTCGTCGACGTCCCCCTCCCTCTGGCGAAGATCGGGTTTGCGCGGAATCGACCAATCCGATAGCTAGATTTTTATGCCTGATGATTGGCCAAAATAGAATCTTGTTGGAGCATGCCATTGGCGCACACCAAATTTCACGATTGGCTAAAATACAAGATTTTACGGCTTTGCGATTGGCTGAAAAAAGAGATATTTGATTGGCCCGTTCCCAGCGATGGGCCATCGTTGATCATCTTGCTTCGGCTGTGTAGACGCTTCTCATGCTATCTCTTCTGCGCGCGTCCTCGGCTCGGGCCGGCGCCCGCATGGCCGTCCGCGCCTCTGTCTCCACGCGCGTCTTCACGCCCACGGCCTTCTCGCCGGCCTCGACAGCCATGCACTTCTTCTCGACGCAGCGCGAGACGGAGCTGGAAGCCGAGAACAAGAAGCTCAAGGACGAAATCGCCGAGCTCCAAAAGAAGCTCGAGAACAAGCCCGGCAAGTTCATGGCTGTGATCCAGGCCAACGGTCTTCCGTTCCTTGTGTGGTGGACGACGCTCTACGGCGCGACGGGCTTCACGATCTACTATGGCCTCTCGCGCGGCTGGTTTGGCGGCAGCGACGCTGTCGACCTCATTCGCGGCCTTGGCCTTGACTCGTACATTGACCTGGACAGCCTCAACCCTGAGTACGGCAACATTGCGATTGCCGTCGTCCTCAACGAGATCCTCGAGACGGTGCGGTTCCCGTTCTGTTTGGCGACGACGCCGATGATCAAGCGTGCGTGGGCCAAGGTCCGCAACCAGCCCGAGGCGACCAAGTAAGGACGCACGGTATAGAAACTTTAGTAATACTGTGTAAGCCAGCAACTGTGTCTCGCTCCGCCGTCGCCCTAGCGAACGATGCAAAAGGCCTCTTCCACCTCCATGCGAGAGAGCTCCTCGAGCGCAATGCGCTCCTTCACTTGCGCATACTCGTCGAGCGCCGGCGTTGACGGCACGACAATGGACGGCTCTGGCAGCCACGTGGGCTCCAGACGCTGGTTGCCGCCCCACGGCTGCTCCAAAGTGCTCGGCGGGCCTGACTCGTCCTGCACCAACGTCGTCTCTTCGAGGCTTCTTGGGTCGTCGTCGATCGACCCATCGTCGTCGCTGGCAGCAGCATCCGTTGCCGACGCTCTCCATGTGTTTTCAGGCTCCTTGCACTCGCCGTCGGCAAAGATGAGGCCTAATGCATCACTACCATCGACGCCATTTTGCGTCCGTAAGAATGACGCACCGTGCACGCCCACACGGCCATCGCCACTCACGTCGAGGTACACGGGCTCGGTCATGTCGTTGGTCAATGCTGGCTCCGACTGATGGAGGCTAATGCGTCCATCACCACGTCATGTGCAGAGGCGCGCCACGTACGCTTGGTACATGTAGTGCAGTTGCAGCTGCATGAAGCCGTCGCTCTTGTGCGACACAAACCAGTCGGGTTCCCAGAGCAGCGGGATCTGCATCGCCGATAGAATCGCGCAGACGCGCTGGGCGTTCGAGAGCTGCTGGGATGGTGTCTACACCGTGCCTCGTACACGCACACACCTCGAATTGCTCACGTACCGTCGGTGCCATGAACATTCTGTCGGCTTGAAAAATATCATCGCACTCGTCGTCGTCGCGGCGCCGCCGTGCGCCGTAGTAGTGGAGCACACACCAGAGGCGAATGCCCGAGCTACGCACAGTCATTTTCTAGTAAATGGCAGGTCGCGATGGCTCGAACCGAAAGTAGTCAAAGACGCCGCTTGTACTCTTGTTGTTGTTGCTGCTGCTGGTGGTATCGAACGGAGCGCAGTCGCTCCACAGCTCGTGGGGACTCGCTTGGTAGTACAAGCTCAAAATGTCTTGGCACCAATTCCAGACGACCTTGTGCGGCAGCGGCCGCAGCACGACCTTGTGCAAGATTTCATGTAGAAAGACCGCCGTCATTTGGCGGTCGCCACTCCAGAGTTGTGCCGCACTCGGTACATTCCGCACGTTCAGGTTGAACCTGTCAATATGCATTGTACTAGTGCGCTGTACGAGCGCATGCAGCGTACCGACTGAGGCACTGCAAGAGCTGCTCGACGTTCGACTCGGTGGTTCGTTGCGATTGCGCGCGTCGGTTGATGCTCCCAATGGAGAAGTCGGGGACGTAGTGGTGCAAGAGGTAGCTTAGGAAGACGCCGTTGCGCAGTACGACTCGACACTCAGCTATTCCATGGTTCGTGTACAGGTTCTCGACCAACGGAAACTGATGCGCCTACTTGGTGCGGCCAGAGCGAGAGCAAATTAAGCCACAGGAGGTACTGCTGTAGCTGCTTGAGCGATATCTTGGGCCGCGTCAAGTGCGTGCGCACGAGGTCCTCCCGAACGTACGACGTCGAGCGTGGCTTAAGTGGCTACGTGGTATGTACTTTGAGGCGCCAGGCACGAAAGAATCGACTACCGTCGCGGGGGGCGAGTCGGGAACCAATGGCTCGGCCTTGGCGATACCTACGCGCGCTTTCAGAGTCGCGGCAAGATGGACGCATAGATTCCGCACTTGCTTGCGACGAGGACCGGCGCGGCAGTAAAATCACGCGCTGGTTCCCGCCGCGCAAGGACACGAAGCGCTGCGGCCCCGTCGGCGCGTCCTTTCGACGCATGCGAGCGTTTCCCCCGGACTCTATCTTTGTGACGAACAGCATCTCGCTACCGAGAGACTAACTACTGTATACATGGGTAAATCGCCGCACCTTTTCGGGACCAAGGGCCTCGACCATGGCAGTTGTTACGACCCGAGGAGCCGAACATGTCGTTGGACGAGCTGGCAGTTATTTGAGGGCGCTTTGTTCTAGCTTGATCCCTTCTGTGCGTTAACGAGGGGCATCAAGTGGTCTGTCTAGGTTTGGAGCGATGCTGCTCGCTCGCTCATGTGGCTTGGCCCGAAGACGTGGGTGGGTATGTATCATCGAGCAACGAGCTTCGTCTCATTTTGATTGTTGGAGGAGACGTGCAGATGCTGCTAGGGGTTGATCCGACGGGACACCCACGCGGGATCGTCCGAGGCATTAAGCGTGTCGACTTGGGCAAAGCTGTCGTGGAGACGAAGGTACTTGACCTGCTGCGGCCGAAGCACGAGCACAAGAAATGTCAGTGGCGGCGTTGCCGACGTCACCACCGGCACGGGCGCGTCGACAAATGGCGTGTTGGGCTGCGGCCAAAAGAACTGCTGCCGCATGCTCTCGCGCAGTTTGTGCCACAGCTGCGCGCGCAAGCCAGCGGCGTCGTCGTCGGGCGTCACGAGCTGCACGTGGCCCGCGATGCGGAACTGCTCGCCATTCTGCGGCAGCCACCAAGCCACCTCGCATGCGGGATTCGCTTGCAGCTGGGCAACCTTGGCACTGCGCGCATCCGTGATCATGGTCATGCCCGTCTCGCCTTCAAAGCCACGGAAGACAACTGTCCGGCATTGCGGCGCACCGTCTTGGGCCACCGTCGCCATCTGCAGGTAGTGCGTGCCTGGGATGTGTCGGTTGGCTTCAATCGCTTCCTGAAGGCGCTGCTTCCAGGGCGCCAAGCGGCTCACGCTGGGGCTCGTCGCCATCGTCCTGCACCGACGTCTGATCGCGTGGGTTACGTGGAGGCAGAACATCGCGATCCGCCTATCGCACTTAGCTGGATGGACGCATATTAAATGCCACAGGTCGAAGTTTCTATCAATATGAAACAATGTATGCTACAGGGATAGGGGTTCGAAGTTCAATATAACCTCCTAAAACGAATACAATGCTTGTTGTTGGGGTTGCGAGCGAACGTCACCGGACTTCGGTAGGCGATAGGTCGATCGAACGATAGATAGTTGGATAGGTCGTTGGATAGATATGACATCCGATGCTTCTCGAGTCTTTTCCTCCTCGTTCGGTCCACCGTACACAACACACAACATGCAACATGTTAAATAATCGACTGAGAACGTTCTCACTGCTCGGTGTCTTCCGAGATGCTGGACCACGACCGGTAGATCGACGGTTTGCCCGAGTGCCACGAGACGCCGCCGCGACCCGAGAGCATTTCTTTGGTCTCCAAGCTCTGCCGGAGGAGTTGCTGCAGTACGATCTGCGGTGTCAACGGCTGGGGACGCTCGACGTACGAAGCGACGAGGCGCGCGAGTCGGTTGAGATGGTGCACAACATCGTCATGCAACGTCGCACTGCGCTTGCTCGCGACCGTGTCCAGCACGGCGATGGTGCCAATCGCGACGCCAGACGACCCGAGAACGATCGGCGCGCCGGCGTAAAACCGGATGCCGTGCGCCGACGCGACGAGCGGGTTCGAGGCAAAGCGTAGGTCGCGGAGCGTGTCGGGCACGAGGATCGGCCGCGGCGCGTGCAGCGTCGAGGCGCAGAGCGAGGCTTCGCGCGGCACCTCGGGTACGAAGAGCCCGACACTCGCCTTGAACCACTGCCGGTGCGCGTCCATAAAGCTGATGTACGCGATGGGGCAGTTGGTGAGGTCGCCCAAGAGGCTGCAGATCGTGTCGTAGGTTGCCTCCCGTGGCGAGTCGAGGATATGGAGCTGCCACAGCGCTTGGAGTCGCGCTTGCTCGTTCGAGTGCACCCAGAGATCCTCGATGCTGGGCGGCGCATCGTCTTTGAGCGAGCAGTATGGGGACGACGGGCACGTCGAGGCCGTGAACGACGACGACGCAAGCGACTTTTCTTCCAGGAGCGGGATCGTCGGTGTCGTGGCAAAGAACGGGTTTGGCGACGCAGCCGGAGACGGCAGCTTGGAGATGCGTGTTGTCTGCGTCGACGCGTAGCACGGTGGACACACCTTGATGTGTCGCTGCTGGGGCTTGCGCTGACGCTTGGTGTCGAGCGTGACCAGGCACACGCGCCGTGCGCACTGCCGACAGATGATCTCGCCGCACTACATGAAGATAGCCCATCGCCTTCCTTGCTCGAGAGCATATTCTCGTACCATGCGGCAGTGCTGCTTGCGGCGAAAGAAGGTAAAGCTGTGCCCGCAGCCGTGGCACGCCGACCGGTGGGCGTCGTGCACCCAGTGCGCTTGTGAGATGCTCCACGCATGCCACTGCCCGAGCGACACGTCGAGAACGACCTCGGGGCGCTGGGCCTTTTGCTGCTGGACGTACCAGAGGTTCGGCGCGCTCAAGGCAGCGTTGGGATGCATCGACATGATCTCTCGACTGGCCTCGGCCGACGGACGACTGCGAGTTCTGATCTGGCGCAGCCCTGTCGTGGTATCCGGATTAAAATACAACTAGCACCAATCACATGCCTGCGTTCGAGTATCTTCCGGATACCGGACCGTGGCCATGCCAGTCAACGTCCGACGTAGCCACAAAAAAGAACGCGCATTACACCACACACGGTGGTTTGATCCGAGGACCGCAATTTCGACCACGAGGTCGCTTGCCTAGCATCGCCGCGCTACAGCTAAGCTAGAAGCTATAAGAAATCATTTGCCTGGCGTAAATCAGCGCGATGAGAGGCCAATATTGCGATACGAGCTGGTGTCGCCAAATGGATGGATGTATCGGTAGTAGCCGGAACGAGCCTTAGGCGTAACAAAACATGCTCTGGAAACGTCGCCTTGGCGTTGACGTTTGAAATCACCTAATTTTCTGGTCGTCGGAGCATGGCCACTCGGAAAAACTGCTCAAGCAAGCGTTCAACTGTAGATTCGAGTCGATCGGTGCGAGCGCCATACGCAACACCCCAATCGTGACCTCGCAGGCGCATTTGAATCGCTCGGAACGGTGCAAGACCCGAATCATTCGGTATCTGTACAGAGACTCGTCGCGCGACTAATACATGAGCCTTTGTAGTCAAACGATATTTTATGTGGGATAGCGTTTTGTCAACTGGTTCTTGACGTCGGAGGCGTCATGTAATCGAGCAATGGCACCTGAGGAAAGCACGGTCGTCACCATGGTGCTCGAGGAGTGAGCAATCACATGTTGACCGATGACGTTCGTTGCCCGTGGTCTATCGCGTGGGTCGGTTGCAGTTGGTCCTGCATGGACAGGCGTATACGATCCAGGGAATATAGGGAATAATTGGTTATTCCCTTAAAAAGATGGTCTTACTGCAAATTGACCTTTCTCTCGCGATACAACGCGCCCGAGTACAGGAGGTATTGTGGCGGTACCTAGGCAGTACACAAAGATGGGAGCGACTGCGCCTGCTGCTGGTCGAGATCATGCTCACTGCAAACATGAAAGGCCGTGATTTGTCAAAGAAGGAGCTCTAGCCCATCGGTCTAATTTCAATCATTCTGATTGGTGTAAAAGGGAGAAAGTATCGATGTATCGTGCGTGGAGGTGTTCGCTGCAATCGACATTGAGCGCGGTCGGTGGAAGCGCAACCGATGTGCCCACAACAAGATGCTATGTGAGAAAATTGTATAGTCAAGATAAGGCTGATATGCGCTCGATGCAGTTTTGCGCTTGGGTTTGAATCGCAGCGGATGCGCGCACGCCACATGATGACGTCCTTCACGACCTTCCTGGAAGCATTCTTTCGCACCCGAGCATCGATGCTGCCAGCATCAAAGCCACCTCGCAGAACTTTAGCCTCGTACATTCGGCGGTCCTTGCACAGCCGTCCGCTAGCAACAAGACGGTCAATGCGTACCTCGATGCGTTAGGTGGTATTGCGTGCCCAGACGACGACATTGACGACGATGCGATCATCAACGCACTTGACGCAGTTGCTGGGGTTGTGACGGAGCACGCGCCTGTGGACGAGCAACTCGGTCACATCGATATGCGCGACGAACAAGCTGATGTCACCCGGTGGCCGCAAACTGGTGGTACGAGCGAAGATGCCCAGGCGCCAGCGACCCGTTGGTGGCTGTCGTGACGAGCGACGACGACCCAATTTGCGAGTTGGACCGAAACGACGTGCTCATGGCTTCCGTGTTCCCGCATTTATTCATGCTTGGCAAAGGTACGATTTCGGTCGTAAATTCGACCCGCACCCCCACTTTGGCATCCGATTGTACAACGACACCATCGTCCGCTCGGTCGACGACGACTCTACCATCCCAGAGATCGATGTCTTCGTGACCATTGCAACGATTTCAATGACTTCGAACGCGGGTATCTCCGTGACCATTGCAACGATGCCAACGATTTCGATGACTTCGAACGCGGGTATCGTTGGCAGCGTTGCAATGGTCGCGGAGACATCGATCTCCGGGATGGTAGAGTCGTCGTCGACCGAGCGGACGATGGTGGCGTTGTAGAATCGGATGGCAAAGTGGAGGTGCGGGTCGAATATACGACCGAAATCGTCGTGGTTACAGACCAGCGCATTCGTGATGGTGTAGATGTTGCTGAGCTGGAGCTCGGCGTCGAAGCGGGTCGCGGCGTCGTTGCACCATGTTCAACCCGCACCATGAGGCCTTTCGTGCGACGCTTTGCTGGAAGTATGTTGATGCTCGAAGCGTCAATGCGCGGCTTCTTGCCCGTGATAGCGTTCTCTTTCGTGTCGATGGCCTTGCGTGCCGGCGTCTTGCCCTGGCGTTGCATGTCGTGCGCCTTGTTGGTAGCACGTGCCGAGCTGTAACTAACCACGACGATTTCGGTCGTACCTTTGTCAAGCATGAACAAATGCGGGAACACGGAAGCCATGAGCACTTCCGCGTCGCTCATTGTATTTTGTGAAGGTTGTGAGTTGCAGGGCAGAAAGAGGCCGTTGAAGGCGAGAACGGCAGTTGACTTGGAAATTAATTGTCGATCGGTCCCCTTCCCACGACTTGCTGTGGCGGCATTGGAAGATTTTAGTTGTGTTGGCGAGGGACGCACTTCAAGTGGGACGAGGAGACAACACCGTTGTAAACGGGCAGAGAATGTTGTTATCTTGTACCATATTTCTCGGGCAACGTCATATGAACGGCACCTCGGCCGAGCGCCCCGGCGAGGCAGCGTCGGCCTGTGATGTCGCAGGGGCGAGACAGTCGGTCGCGCGCACCACCGAACGCAGCCAGGCTTTGGTAGGCGGGCGCACTGCAGGCTCTAGCGCGGCGCACTTGTCGCGTACGTTGGCGGTGAAGGTATCTAACGTCCTGCATGCGTCCCAGAGGTGCGAGACGTGGGTAAATCCGGCGCGTGCCATGTTGCGTGCGTGAGACGTCGCATAGCTTGTCGTCAACGGGCGCAGCGCGTCGGCGCACTCGAGAAATGCGTTGTGCCACAGCGGTTGGTCGCGCGGTGTCGCGGACCGTTGGCGTGTTGCGCCGTCATGGCGAACCGTGTGCCGTGACTCTATCCACAGCTTCAGTAGAAAGCACTATCGAGGTGGAATGCGAGCCGAGTCGCTCAAGCTTTTTGATATGTAATTGCTCAAGCGTTTTGATATGAAATAGCGTTGCGTTGTCGACGTTTCGCTTGTCTTTTGATGGCGGTAGAAGGTTTGAACTTTGAGACGTACAACGGTCGCAAGCCCATGACCAAAGTCTGCAAGTGCAGGATCTAGTAGAAGTGGTCCAAAACCGGATAGAGTTGCCGCGCGAACCTAAGGTACGCCCAACCTGCACACGTTTGACGCAAAGCGTTTAAACCAGGTACACTGTAGTACATCTCGTCCTACAAATTCTAAACTGTGGGTGCCTCGACTGCTACACGAGTACATAAAAAGTATCCATCCCTTGGATGCCGTTGGTACATGTCCCGCAGCCATTCGCGCACCAACCTGGATTTTGTATGCAGGTATATATCCTGTACTGGATTGACGACGTATCCACCAATCAGCGATGTTGCACCGCGCCGCGGCCTGGCTATTGTCACGGTACAATGGACACTGCTGTGTTCACGCAACACACTCGGGACTCTACTCCTGAGCATGAATCTGAGCGGGTGCTCTCGATGCTGATACCCACGAACCCTTCAACAACGCAAGCACTTATCGGTATTGAATACATGCACCTTCTCGGAAGCCAATGTGACGACGGACGGACGCAATTCGAAAAAATCCTGCCACGGCTGCAGATGGCGATCAACTTGAACTACAACGTACCACGGTTCATGCACGCACCCTTGACCACGCGCAAGTGCTTCGTATACAAACGGCCGAGCTTTCCGCCTTACGAACGAGGGTTCATCGCTTTGCACATCGATCGCAGCGTCGTCAAAAAAACCTCTGAGAACCACCCACGAACGCGCCGTGAACCCTGAGGCCCGGGGCTCGGAATGCGAAACGTACGGCTGAGCCACCTGTTGAAGTTGCGAAAACCAATGGGTGACTCTGTGCATGCCAGCCACGCCGGTTGTGGTTTTCATTTTTCAATTTGCTCTCGAGCACCAACGCACCTCCCAATGCTCCGCCGCACGGTGCTTCTCCTCGCCGCGCTCGCGGCCTCGATCGCCGAGGCCGTTGTGCCCGTCAACGTCATGCTTGCCCTCGATACGGTCGTCTTGGACAGCGCGGGCGGCACGACGCTCAAGGACCGCGCCAAGCTCGACACGCAGTTTGGCAAGCTCAAGGCGAACGGCGCGACCGGCATCATGTCCGACTGCTGGTGGGGCCTCGTCGAGAAGGCGGGTCCGCGCCAGTATAACTTTGCTGCGTACTTGGACATGGCCCAGCTCGCGGCCAAGCACGGGCTCACGATCCAAATGGTGCTCTCGTTCCACTCGTGCGGCGGCAACGTCGGTGACGAGTGCAACATTCCGATTCCGAGCTCGTGGTTCACGCGCAACGACGTGTGGTACAGAACGCGGTCGGGCTTGTCGGACCCTGAGTACATCTCTCTCTGGGCGGACGCGACGCCGCTCGACAAGTTTGGCCGGACGCCGATCGACATGTACCGCGAATTCATGGCGGCCTTCAAAGCCAAGGTCATGGACGTGGTCCCCAACACGGTTGTCGAAGTCCAGATCGGCGCGGGGCCCGCGGGCGAGCTCCGGTACCCGTCGTACCAGCTGCAAGACGGCCGGTGGAGCTACTGCGGCATTGGTGAGTTTACGAGCTACGACGCGTTCGCGGCCAAAAGCATCGCGGCCCGCGCGAACGCGACCAACAACCCGTCGTGGGGCCTTTCGTCCGGTCCGGCCAACGCCGGCAACTTCAACTGCCTCCCCGGTGTCTCGGGCAACTGCCCGTTCTTCTTGGAGAATGGTTTTGACAACTATGCAAGCGCGTACGGCAAGTTCTTCCTCGACTGGTATTCCTCGTCGCTCTTGGACCACGGCCGGGCGCTTTCCAAGGCCGGCCGCGCTGTCTATGGACCGTCGACGACGCTGTCGATCAAGGTCTCGGGCATCCACTGGTGGTACAACTCGAACCACCACGGTGCCGAGCTCACGGCCGGCTACTACAACACCAACAACCACGACGCATACGCACTGATTGCGACGATGCTCAAGGAGAACAACATTCGCTTCTGCTTTACGTGCATGGAGATGACGGACGCCAACGACCAGTGCCGCTCGCAGGCCAACTTGCTCGTTGGCCAGGCGCGCAACGCCGCCTCCAACATCCTTGGGCTCAAGAACGGCTTTGCTGGTGAGAACGCCTTGCCCATGACCAACGACGCCCAAGTCAAGACGGTCGTCGGCCACATGGCGGGCGGCGCCACGTTCACGTACCTCCGCCTCACCGACTCGTTCGATTGGGGCTACTTTGCGTGGATCGTCACAAGCCTCAAGCAAGCTTAAATCCCTCGCTGTCTTTACCTACCATAGTCTCGTTGCATCTATCAACACGAAATGGCTTATCGAGTTTTTCCATTATTACAGAGACAAAAGATGCTGTCTTCCCTTCTTCGGCAGTGTCACAGTCGCATCGATGCAGGCTGAGGTACTCGCTGTTTTAAGAAAGTCCACCGTTTTAGAAACTGACGCGACCGAAAAGTCACTTTCCCTACTGGCGGCCAATGACGGCGGTAAGGAGGAAGCACGGCGGGGCGTCCTGGCGCAGCTGGCGGCAGCAGCTCATCAAGGACCGCATGCGCGGCGAGTCCTTCCAGCGCTGGGCCGCGCGCAACATGGACAACTCACTCTTCGCGTCGCTCCTCGACATTGTCCAAGTGATCCTCGGGTACGATCATGGCATGCGACGGAGCGCGTCCCAAGTGCGCTAGGGTCTTTGTCACGCTGCTCTACTTTCAAAAGAACTGGGTCACATGGGACACCTCGATGGACGGCCCCGTCCTTCGCGTCGTGCACGCCGTGTTTGGCACGCTCTTCCTCCTCGACTACTTGCTGCGGTAGGCAGCCTATCTCGTGAGATGGGAGCGACACCATGTTGCCTAGGCTGTATGCGGCCGACAACATGGAGACGTACGCCTTCAGTCCACTCGCGATGATCGAGCTCGTCTCGATCCCGTCGCAGTTCGTCGAGGTGCTCTTCAGCGAAGCGCAGAACCGCGACAACAACATCCTCTTTGGCGCCATGAAATGCCTTCGACCGTTCCGATGCCTGCGCTGCTTTCGGCTCCTCGCCTTTGCCAAGACGGCGCGCACGCGTGAGACGGGCATGCTCTTCTTCGCCGTCCTTTCCATCATCATTTGCTTTGGCGCAGTGCAACAGGTACGCGCTTCGATCCTCACAAGGTCGCTCGCTGTATGTCGAATGTAGGCCATGGAGGCGTGCTTTTGCAACGACCTGCCCGGATTGGACCCGAGCAACTGCTCGGTTGTCGACCGGAATACGACGGGGCACTGCCAGGACATGGAGATCTACAACGCCATGTACTTTGTTGTCATTACGATCGCGACGCTCGGGTATCTACAAACAGTACACAGTTCATACACCGAGATGACACGATGGGCAGGTATGGCGACATCGCACCCAAGTCGACGTACGGCCGCATCATCGTGATTGTGCTCATCATCGCGTCCACGGTGCTCCTCCCGCTGCAGATCTCGACGCTCAGCGACGTGCTCAACCGCGACACCGAGTACGACAAGGCGTACACGGCGCGGCGGGAGCAGAGTCCGCACGTTCTCATTTGCGGCGAAGTGACGTCGGGCGCCTTGGATTTCTTCCTGCGGCAATTTCTGCACCCGAACAACCTCAACTGGAAGGACAAGGTGGTCATTTTGTGTCCGTCACTGCCGTCGCACAACCTCAAACGCGTGCTCCTCAACGCAGCTTACGAGCAGCGCGTCATGTACCTTCAGGGCTCTGCGATGCTGGACGCCGACCTCAAGCGTGCGAGTGCCGCGACCGCGCGCCTCTGCTTTGTGCTGACCAACCAGCAGGCGCGGGATGCGGATCGGAGCGACACGTCGTCGAATTTCATCACGATTTCGCTGCGCCGTTTCAACAAACACCGTCCATGTCTCTTGTCTCGCAAAATGGACAACTCATGTCCACTTTAGTGCCGATTTTCGTGCAAGTGCTCAAAACCGACAACATTCGGCACGTCCACCTCTCGGGCGCCAACAACATTGTATGTCTGGACCAGCTCAAGCTCGGTATTCTTGCGCGCTCCTGCGTCTTACCTGGCGTCTCGGCGTTTGTGTGCAGCATCCTCTTTGCCTTCCGGCCATTCCGAGGCGTCGAGTACGAACGCAGAGGTGTGGAGTATCCGATCTGATATGCATACGTAGCCGCTCGCACGTGTGGGCGTCCGACTTTCTTCGCGGCTGCAGCAACGATGTCTACGACGTGCGCGTGCCGAGGTTCCTCGACGGACTTGTCTCGTTTGCGTTCCTGGCATACGTGCTCTTCCAAGAGTTTGGCATTGTCCCAATTGCCATGGGCCACAACGACGAGTACCGGCTCTTTCCTGCGAAAACGCGGGTCCGCTGCGACTACAAAGTGTACATCTTGTCGACGTCACCCGACTGTTCGCGGCGCGTCGGCGCCCTCTCCCTCGTCCTGCTCCAAAAGTGCAGAATATTGTCTATTGGGTTGGAGACTAAAAAACATGTGTAGGTACCAAACGATGCTCGACAACTTTGACGAAATCACGCGCGCATGGAACAAGCACTCGTTCACGTCCAAGCTCGCGACGCGTGTCCAGCAGTCCAGCCGGCGGCTGCTTTTGACGCGCACAACGCATCGCACGTCGCTTGTCGACAGCTCGTTCTATTCGATCAAGTCGAACGGCCGCGCGTCCGAAGCCGACTCGGATGCCTCGCATCGATCAAGTATCGTTGTACCATGCACGACCGAGACGGACGTACCAACGAATGGCGGTGACGGCGCGACGCAGGATGCGACCGAGCCATTTGTCTCTGCCGCACCGCAGCCGACGTCGTTTCAACCGCTGCCCAAGGTCATCGAAGGCGACGACGAGTCGTCCGAGAAGATGCCGTTGCCGTCGCAGCCGCACCCGGCCAAACGCCTTCCGCCGTTGAATGTCGCTAATAGCGCGACGCCGCCCCCCGACGCCAGTGCGACGCAGGTCGTCGTTCAACAGGACAAGAACACTCGGTCCAACTCGCAGCTCTCGCTCGACTACCTCTCGTTCCTATCAACGCGCGTGCCCGACGACTTGGAAGATCACATTCTTCTCTGCGGCATGCCCAACATGCTCCACGACTTTGTCGCGCCGTTGCGGCAGCCCAATCGCCCACAAAAGAAGTTTGCGCCCGTCGTTCCCATCGTGGTCTTGAGCGCGACGCCGATCTCGGAGAAGCAGCACGCAAGCATTGCGCACTTCAAGCACGTCTACTTCCTCCATGGCTCCCCACTGCATTTGAACGTCTTGACGACCGCGTGCGCCGCCAAGAGCAAAAGCGTCGTCATTCTGAGCTCGACCAACGACGATGACTGCGACGACGAGCCGGATCTTGTCGATGAAAACATGATTGATACCGATGCGCTGACGCTCTATCGGTTCGTGACGGAGTTTTGTGAGACGAGCCGCCACCCGGACATGCCGCTGCCTCGGATTCTGATTGTGCTTGTACGTGGCTGCCTGTAGGAATTGCTATATCGCGTGGGAATGGCTAGAACCGGCCGAGCAGCCTCCGCTTTGTCAAGGACGAACACAACAAGGAGCCTGCCGACGAAGAGACGATCGAGATCCTTCGTGCGCATAAGCGCCAAGTGCTCTCGCGGTCCGATGACCCGCTCGACAGCATTTGCACCCCCATCTTTGCATCCGGTGCGTTCCATATTTTGCCTGCATGAAGAACCGATGCGAACGCTGGGAGTGTAGGCAAGGTCTTCTTCCCCAATGCACTCGACGCGCTTCTTGGCACATGCGACAAGCACGGCAGCATCATTGACCTCATGTACCTCTTCATTCTGGGCGAGCCGCCGCGGGGCGACGAGGCCGGGCGATGTCTCGACCAGATCACGATTCCGCCGACGCTGTGGGGTCGACCGTACGGCGCGTGCTTTGAGAGCCTCCTTTTGCACCACGTACGTCCTTCATGCACACATGTGTCGTGATATATGGCTAGAATATTCTGTGTTTGGGCCTGTATCGCCCGCAGACCCACCAAAACAGCTACGTGTACGTCAACCCGAGCGCCGACGTCTTTGTGACGCCCAAAGATATTCTATTTGTCCTGCGATAACAACGAGGAAAAGTTGTCCACGTCGTGTTGATTGAAAGGTCGCCGTTTGTAACAAAAATCAACTATTTAACGCCCGTCGCTCTATTAAAGGTGGACGAGCTGCGGGGACGTCCACTCGAACGGAGAGACGGCAGCCAGCGCCAAGTCATCTTCTTCGCCTTTGAACGTCATGTGGTGGAGACCCAGCGGACTTGGCGCGGCATCGCTGTCGTTTGGGCCACGAGGGTCCACCTCGTCTTCTATGGGTCCATGGTTTAAGTCTCTATCCCCCGTGCAAAAATGTACCCTCGTCCAGTCGGAAGCGGCTGTGGACTGGGGATGCAGGCAGTGACGAGTCGCGTGCGTGTCGGTCACGGGTGCAACGCTGACACACCGTCATCGAGATGACCGTCTCGGACAACGGGACGTCCCACTTGGTGCAGCAGCGGGTGCACAGCACCTACACACTCTGTCGATTGCGAGTATCGTCACAAGATTTTGCCTACGTCGCCGCAGCCCCGGCACTGGCGCTTGGGTGAGAGCCAAGCGAACTTGAGGTAGCACACACTGCAGTACTCGATCGCGTCCTTGTTGGGGAAGGACGCCGTCGGTGTCTCTAGGAGCGTTTTGAGTCGCTGCGTGATAAAGTGGTCTTCGAGGTTGAGAATCTAGAGTCAATGCATACGATAGTGCCTAGCATGATATACTCTTCTACCTGGCTCACGTGGCGGCGCAGCACAAAGTCTTGTGCGAGGACGGGCGTAAAGCCCGGTCGCCGCGTCACGCCGCAGAGCACATTGTAGTACTTGAGCTCGCCGGGCCGGGCCGTCTCTAAAACGCATGGCCCGACTACGGTCCACAGGTGAGACGAATCGCGCAGAAGAGATGGGATAGTAGTACGCGGACAAAGCGGGATCGCACGTAACCATGCGACTTTTCCAAGGACGGGCACGACGCGAGCGCAATCGAATGCATGCAGCGGACCCAGCCGCGTCGGACGCGCTGTGTCGCTCGATCGATAAACGTAAACTCGTCATGGACCTACGCGAGTTGGACGCTGTCTTATGTGCTGTTCCGAGCGTTCTACCTCGAGGTAGCAAAAGTCGCGTGCCTTCAGCCCGATCGGCGTCTTGGCGACCATCCAGTTGACGCCAATGTAGTGCAAGCCATCGCCGCGGGCCACGAGGGTATAGAGCGACTGCGTGTTTTGCACGAGGTGGCCCGTCACGCGGCTGTACGCGTCGCACTTGGCAGGCGTGTCGAGGTTGAAGAAGTCGGCGACGGCTTCGAGACTCGCGCGTACCTGCGTGCGCGCACACATGGCGGCCTCGGGCACATCGCCATCGATGTCGACGCCCTTGTGAATCTATGTGGAGACAGGCGATGATGACGGAGTTGACACTGCATTCTACCGTGGCGCGGCGGCCGGTGCGGTCGTTTTGGAGCTCGCTATCGAGCGGGTAGAGTGCCGCGAACGCGCAGGCATTGCGCACCGTGAGCTTGCATGCGATGTGCGCCTTCTCCATGAGCCGATCTCGCTCGCAGCGCGACAGCGGTGGGCACTGGAAGAGGTCGGCAACCATTCGCGTCGGCGCCGGAAGCTTTTGCACTGTTGCACTGTCGCCGATCAGAACATAGTGGCTGCATCATCCGGATAATACCGGCCTGTTTCGTTGACGCGCAATATCCGGAGGATTCGGTTTCACAACAAGAGCATTCGCGACCAAGGACCGGTGATCGAGACAGTGCATTTTAGGGCTCCAGGAGCAACTTTGTTGCTGAAGTGAGTCTATTTAGATATAATTTACACTGAACGGGATACGGTGGTGGATCCAAGGTGCTACGACGGCCGGCCGCCGAGATGCTTAGCCGAGCGGGAGACGTGGCATGTGAACGGCACATGCCGGAACAAAGTTTGTCACGTAGTCATGCGTCGTGCCGCAGCGCTGCCATCATTTGGAAGAGGCACAATGCTTGAGTGTTCAGCAGCAGGTGTTGGAGGTGCAGCTCGGTCAAGAACGCGGCTCGTTGGGCGGGTGCCGCAGGCGTCACAAGGGGCGCCTCGGGGCGAAATACCCAGTCGTTGCGGGTAAGCCAGACGGTGTGGAGCACGCAAGCACGGAGGGAGGACCAACTTTGTAAAGGGACAAGAAACAGTCGAGACGTTCGATTTTGATGCTACATTGTGATGACATGACAGCCTTGCGCACATAACGTTACGCAGAGTCCACGCTCGATGGATTGGATTCGGTACTATACTTTAATCAAAAGAAACGCTCCCAACAGGGTAGGACATTGTCATCTAGACGTACTACGTAGACTAGTACCGGTACGTAGACTCGTGCGTCGACTAGAAATATGACGAAAATTGACAAAAATCCACGTACGCTCTCTTCGTTGGTTCGCATCTTGACGATGCGACCTTTCTATTTGCAGCCGACCATGCAGCACGGTACACGCGAATATTCTTCTACGTAGTTCAATATATTGTCACTACACTAGACACGCAGTGTGTTTGCGTTGAGGTCATCCGCCATCCCATCTCTCGAACATAACTGCTCGTCGGTCTACAGGCGGCATGTCACATGCGCCTCAAGTGCGCGCACTTGGAAACGGCAATGTGGCATGCGGAGGATCCGGATACGCTGGCCACGTACGTGCCACGGCAAGTTCGCGAAGCGCATGGAAGACCTCGTGGCCCGCTTCGACGCGCTCTGCGCACGCGTGGACGCGGACATGCGCTGCGCCTTCCAGCGCTCGATCGAGGTCCTCGACCGCGCGATTGACATTCTCGGCCTCGACAAGATCTGCTTCAGCTTCAACGGCGGGAAGGACTCGACGGTCGTGCTGCACCTGCTGCGGATCGCTGTCGCCAAGCGCGTGCTGGCCTCGCTCGCACGCACGCAGCAGCCGCCCGAGGCTTTTGAGGCCGCGTACCACGCGGCCATGCAGCGCATGCCTGTGCTGTACTTCCACACGACGGACCAGTTTGCCGAAGTCAACGACTTTATCTCGCACTGCATTGCGACGTACGGCCTCCAATGCGGCGTCCAGGCCTGCTCGTTCATGGAGGGTATCCAGAACATCATGGACAAGCGGGGCGTCCAGGCGTTCACGATGGGCGTGCGCAAGGGCGACCCGTTCACGGACGACCTCGAGCACTTTGCGCCGAGCTCGAAGGGCTGGCCCGCCTTCTTCCGCGTCAACCCGATCTTGCTCTGGAAGTACGAGTACGTCTGGGTCTTTCTCCAAGAACTGCAGCTCGAGTATTGCTCTTTGTACGACCAAGGGTGCGCCTCTCGACGCTGTCATTGTCGATTCTGACGACGCGGAATTAGGTACACGTCGCTGGGTAGCATTCACAACACGGTGCGCAACCCCGCGCTTGCCGTGACCGATGCCACGGGCAGTGTAAGCTACCTGCCCGCCTATCGTCTCCAAGACGGCAGCTCCGAGCGATGTGGCCGCGGCCGCGTCTGCACCAAGTCGACGACGAGCACGAGTAGCAGTAGTGATAGAAGTACATAGTCCGCGTAGACGTGTAAAGCTCGTCGTATATGACCTAAACGCATCGACGGGAGACTCCCAACGTTGTCTTGCGAGCTCTGTACTAGTACCCTTTTGGTATGTGGTCTGAACGTGGACGTGCGCTGGTCGATTTTGGGCTTTGGTTGAAGCGACAAGCAGAGCGTAGTAGTAGCTTGGTGCGAGTGACAGGCGACAAGAATCTCTCCATGCTACCGTACCAGCAAAGCGACGGGCTACTACTAGAAGAGTCCGCACGTTCGGCGGCCCACGCGGGTGTAAAAATGTACTTTTTTAAGGGAATGGCTAGCATCGCCGTCTGATTCGGCTCAACAACATTGCCGTCGCTTGCAGCTGCCGTGAGGTCTGGTCGGACGGAAATTGTATTGAATCATTTGAGAAATGTATGCTTCATTTGGTGCCAACAATAAATGTGATCGCGCTGGCGGCGGCGTCGATTCGCACGCCGCCGCGGAATTCGCACATGACGTACACCTCTCTGCAGAGACAAGATTGGGCTGTCTCGACCACTTTGAGTTTGCTCCAAAATGAGTGCGATGTCGCTGCCGCTGCGCCCCGACTACTTTACGTGCCCGCCGCTGATGCGCTACGAGAAGGACCAGCTCATTTCGCTCGGCCAAAAGATCTGCAAGGACGTGGTGCTCAACGCCATGTCGATGCAGCTCGCGCCCGTCGACGCCGTGCTCACCAACGCCAAGACGCGGCGCCGTGCGCGGGTACGTTACCTCTCAACCCATCCGATCTCATCGTGCATCATCGAGTAGATGCGCCGAGGCACCGACGTCTTCAACCGGCAGCTCGATGGCATGTGCGCGTACACGCAGATCCCGTCGACGCTCGCGCAAGTCGCCGACTTTTTCTACCTCGACACCAACACCAAGCTCCGCGCCTATGCGTCGGTCGTCGGCCAAACCATCTTGGACCGACAGACACTCTATACGCTCGTGGACCACCCGGGGTTGACGACGCAGCGCAACCAGCTCATGGCGCTGAGCCCGCTCCACTACATTGGCGTCGAGTGGATGGTCATGGAGTGTCCGTTTGGCGTCTCGAACCGCGACACGTGCTTCCTCGAGGTACTAGTATGCACCCTATTGTCGATCGCGGTTGTAGAATGTGGAATGTTGTTGCAGGCGCACGACGAATTCGAGTTTTTCGACGAGCGCGCCAAGGTGCCTCGCCGAGGCTTTGTACGCGCCGTGCACTCGATCGACATGGCGTGCTGCCCGCCGCTGCGCGAGACACACGGCCTCGTGCGGTCGTCCTTGGTCCGCGTACGCGCCTGTTTCGAGTCTAGTACAGGACACAATTGTTGTTGCGATTGGATAGTCGGGACACGTTTTCATCGAGACCGACGACCCGAATGTGCTCGATTATGTCTGCGTGTACGTGACGAATCCCAACGGCAAAGTGCCGCGGTCCGTCAACCTCAAGATGCTCCACCACCAGTGCGCGCGGGTTTGTTTCTTGAAATGATACGAAAACATCCGAAGCTGACAAGGTGGTTGTGTAGGTGCTCAATTTGGAAGAGTTTTTTCACCTCGAACGGATCACGTCGGCGCTGGACCACGGCGAGTTTGCGCCCGTGGGGTCGTTCCAAAGCAAGGCAAGCGTCAACTTTTGCGCGTGCTGCGACAAAAAGTTCGGCCTCTTTTACCGCAAGTCGCATTGCCGCAAGTGTGGCCACGTACGACGTTCTCGTGTCAATGTCGGTGGACCCTCATCCTCGTTGGGTGCTGGTGTAGGTCGTGTGTCACCAGTGCAGTCGCAAGTGGCCGATCCAATTTCGGAAAACATCGACCGTGACGCTGCGGCTCTGCCACGTGTGCTTTGTCGGCAGCGCAGGCGCCAAGCCGCTCCCGACATCGTCCGGTAGAGATGGCCGACGGAAGGATAGTCTCAGAGCGAAGATTTCCATTGTAGCGCTGACGGGCCTTGGCGACCAGCAAGGAACGGGCACGTGCGTCATGAGTGATGACGTGAGCATTCTCAGCAGCTCGGTTTCGGCGCCAAGCGACGTGCCGTGTGGCGACACCAACAATAATGAAGTGGAGCAGACCGACTACTTTGAGGCGGACGACCACCCTGCGATGGAAGGCATGTTCTCGTTCCACTCGTCGTGCCGGTCGCTGCACTTTTCCAAAAGCTCGTTCAGCCCGTATGGCGACGACAGCAACCTTGGTATTTCCATGTAGCTCGTGGTGCGAGTATACTAGTATATAAAAGTGTGTTGATTCTGTCCTTGCTCCTCTATCATCGCTGCAGAGCTTCGCCGCAGGAATAAAGCAATAATGGCAAGCAGAACAACGCCGAGTTGGTGGCACGCGCAGGCTGCATCGCAACAAGAGGCAACGCGACGAGCAGGACCCGACCTGGAAAGATATCGGCCCGACGCAGCCGTCCATGATGGCACGTCTCATGGCGCCGCCAACGCTAGTTTTTGAACCGCAACCCGATATCCGAGCGGCAACCATCGCTCGATGTCGTGTACGGTGTCAACACCTATCAGTATAGTAGCAGTACATATAACAGGTCCAGTGCGGGGTGAGCTGGTAGGAACTTTTGAATGCGAAGCGTTGTCTACCGGTATTTGCGACGACGGCGCGTCGCTTGCTTTAGTCTTTAAAGTCTGTCTTCAATGTGGCATCGCACCTGGGTCATCTGGGTCACCTAATTCTTCCTGAGCTTCTTTGACGCCTTCGTCATGAGTCGAGTTGGCCTCCGTCGATGAGGTCGCTGCGGCGGGTTGCTCACGCTTCGCGAGTCTTGTCTTCCTTAGGGTCTCTTGCATCCTCTGCGCTTGCCACTCCCGGATGAGCTTCGCCTCGTACACCGTTCGTGGCTTCACCTGCTTCCCATGAGGCCCCATGGTACTAGAAGGCGTCCTTGCCATGACCGCGCGCTTCCGCTGTCCGGATATTCAACGCGCGATGAGAGGCTCTATTACCGGTAGTTGCTGCTGCAAGGGCGATAATCCCTGATAAGTGCGTTGTACTTAATAAATACAGAATCAAGTATAATGTCCATCAATGTGGCAGCACTTAACAGGGACTACAAAATCGCAGTTGACGGGACATAATCCGCGTGATGCGATTGGCTGAGACCAATGAAACTAGACATAAAATCTGGAATTATGGCCAATGGGTTGGCCAGAATGTGTACCACATAACGTTCCTTACGTTACTACTACTTTAAATGTAGTAGAAACGTTGATACGCTGATACCTTGATAATCATTGTACAATTTTTTTGTACCAGGACTATCAAGGTATCAGCGTATCAACTGTTCACTTGTTGTCAGAAAATCGCAGCCACTCGCTCTCAGTAGTTGCGTGGGGACGCCTGGGTGGCCGCGGGTGAGGCGCATCACGACGCGCTCTCTGTGTCAAACGTCGCTGTCTGGAGCAAAGCTGTACTTCCAGAGCCTCAAGGGCGTTGTGATGCATGCGGATCGAAGTGTCCCGATGCGTATCATGTTAGTATCCGCACTTGATACTCCTACTTATCGAAACAAGCCCATGGTCATGCGAGTCTAGGGATCTTGATGCGAGTGTAGTGCGTGCAGATGAAGCCGTCAGGTCTTGAGCCGCAAGCGCTTTCCAGGAAGACCTTTGCCTTGCTGCACGCACGCCCGTCCTTGGCGGCAAATGCCTGCACGCTAGAGCAAGCGGCAACAACTGACGCCATGGCCAAGTGCACACACGAACTCTAGCTGGCATACAGGCTGGCATGGATGCAGTAGCATGGGGCACCTTGGCTCAGACGAACTTAACCGAAAGGTACCCTGTTTTGTCATGACGCTGCCCAAAGAAGACTTCGGGCAGGCAGCTCGGACAGGCAGCTCGGGCAGGCAGTTCCCATTTCAGCGGCTGCAGCGACCCATGGACCAGCCGATGCAGTGCGGGTGCCACGCCACCGCCACGTGCGTCTTGCACATGCCCTCGGCCGTCCCGATGGCCGCGGATGACCACCTCGAGGCTGCGTGGAACAGCGACGATATTCCGGCGCCACAGGTCGAGCTGCACGACGACGCTTGGCAGCACGGCGCGTAAGCCTCGGCGCGTAGGCCTCATACGCGTCTTCCATTGTTCCTATGTACTTGACCCACTCGGAGGCTGAGTCGTAGCACACCACACGACGCTGCGTCCGCCGCTTCGCCCAGCTCGTCACGCAGTCACCATATTTCTCCAATGTCCACAATCATGGTTTCTCTGCGGTGCCACTTGTACATCATACCAAGATGCGATCGCCGATTCGCATTACGCTTCTTAGCGAATCATGATGCAGTCGGTTGGCGCGGTCGCGGACGGTACAATGCGCTGGAGCGACACTTTGGCCGGCGCCAAGCAAAGGATGCATACGCGCACGTCCCGCAGCGTTTTGCCGGCCCGGACTTTCTTGATCTCGGAGCATTTGTGACAACACTCGTCGCCGCAGACACAGCAATTGGCCTTTCGGCGCAGAATCGAAAACGACTTGGCGCAAATCACGCAGAGCGGACCGGCCTTGGAAAAGTGCGTGAGCAGATTGCACTCGGCGAGGTACCGCGAGAGGATCGCCGTGTTGACGTCGCCAATCGACGAGACCACCTTGTGCATCCAGAGGCGCGTGTTGGCCGAGACACTCTTGCGGCCCGACGTGTTTTCATGCAACACAAACGTGAGCCGGAGATTCTGTCGGGACACGAGCTCTTCGACGAGAAACCCGCACTGGCGCAAGGCGACGCGGACCGTGTTGGAGGCCAATGGCGCCGGCGGACACGCTTCGGGCAGATCCAAGCTCTCCCACACCGAGACGCCGACGGTGCGCTCGACGTCCGTGGCGCACACGGCGCGGTCCCAGACCGTCCCGTACTTGAAGAAGACAAAGTCGCGGTGCGGCAAATGCGGCTTGGCGTTCCGGAGCTCCATCCAGTTGATGCTGAGGCTGTCTTGGCTGCGCGTGTCGCCGTAGAGCACCGACCCGTTGTAGAAGATGCTGCCAAAGATGTCCTCCATCGTCGTGAGAAAGCAATCGGTCACCGGCATCTCGAGCAGCGTCAAGACGTCCGAAATGGCATATTTGGGCAGAATCAACGTGCCTTTGACGCTGTACACGCCTTTTTCTTCGGCTTCGTAGAGCTGGACGCCGTTGAGCTCCTTCACGGGCGTCAAGTACGGCCGGTCCGAGAGCAAATGCGTCACCAGCTCTTGCCCACGGGTTCGGAGCCCGGCCGCGAACGCAGACGAGATGTGCACGCGCGACGGCCGCTTGTACACCATGGGCGCGTCGTCCGTGCGGCGCGGCGCGCCGGGGCCCGAGTTGGTCATGGACGACGACGATTGGCTCGTCAATTTGGAGCTCTCGGTGCTCGGTGACCCCATGAGGTCGCGAATCACGGTGGCTTTGAGCGGCCCCGTGTTGACAGCGCCCTGGATGCAGCGGTGGCAGACGCGGATCGACTCTTTCACAAAGATAAGCCGCTTGGACTCACAACACTTGTTGCAGACGTACGTGCCGCAGATGCGACACGCGTGCTTGACCCGCACGAGCGAAAACGCCTTGTAGCAGTGCGGGCACTTGGCCGGCGGCGGCTCGGACGCGTCGACGAGCGGGAGGTGCGAGAGCTGGTAGCCCGCAAACACCGTGTGCAGATCCGAGATCATCGACACCATCGTCGTGAGCCAGTACTTGGTCGTTGACGACACTTGAGGCCGCTGGTGGTGGTTCTCCGAGAGGAAGAACGAGATCCGGCACGCCGGCGTGCCTCCGTGGATGTCTTGGAGCACAAACCCGGACCGGTGCAAGTTGAGGCGCACGGCGTTGAACGGGACATCGGGCACGAGCGCGCCGAGCGGCGGCGGTGGCGCGACCGACTTGCGCACCAGTCCTTCAATGTCGGCGTCGATGCTCTCCCAGACGCTCACGGCGGTCGACCCAAACATGTGCTGCGCTTGGAGAAGGACGTACTCGCGCTGAGGCAAGTGGGCGCGCGCGCTCTGGAAGAGGATCCAAAGCACCGAGAGGTGGCTGCTGCTGCTGCTCGTCTTGGCGTTGCTGAAGAGGACCTTGCCGTCCACAAAGAGGTGCTGGAAGAGCTCGTCAAACACATAATGCAGATGCTTGGTCGTCGGCATCGACAGCATCGCGAGGAGGTCGTGCGACTGGACCTTTGGCAGCGTGATCGTCGCCTTCATAGTGTACACGGACCCGTCGTCGACTTCGAAGAGCTGGACGCCGTTGGCTGCGTCTTTGAGAGGCACGGCGTTCATCTCGGAGCAAAGCTCGGACGCGACTTGCCGCCCGAGCTTCTCCAACGCTTGGAGACGATCCGGCGACAGCTGCAGTTGCCGCGGCTGTCGGTTTTCGTGCGCCGAGTGGGTGCGGGACATGGCCTTGTTGTGCTCATGGGCTGAATTACTACGCGAGAGAGCACTCGACGACGACGACGACATCGAGTGCGGCGGCGGCGCGCGGCGGGGTGGTGACGCAGGCGCCGACATGGCCAAGCTCGACCGCCGAAGCAGCTGTGTCGTGTGCATGTGCAGGCACCCGTTGCATACCGAGCACGGTCCCGCAAAGAGCTGGCGCGTCGAGCTGCACCCGAGACAGACAGCGTCGCCGCACACCACGCAAAACTGGCGGTTGGTCAGCGTGCGCCCAAATGTTTGCCGACACGACGCACAGCACGTGGCATTTGGGTCAATGGGCGCCATGGCCACCGGCGCGGCTTGCGTGAGCCGGTGGTCGATGACCGCGTCGGTCCACGCGCGCTCCGTCGCCTTGGCGAGCACGGGCAGCCAGTCGACGGGGAGCCCGTGCTCGAGGACCTCGTCCTTGTCGTCGTCTTCGTGCAAGAGCGGCTGCGACATGACCCATGAGATCTGAACCGCGGGGTTCTCGCCCTGCATGGCCTCTTCGACGACGAAGCCGCAGTGGTGGAACCGGTGGCGGCGGCGGGGCGCCAGTAGCGGGTACTCGTCGAGCTCGATCGACTCCCACACAACTGCGGTCCGCGTCTCGTCGTCGTTGCTCTTGGCGCACTGAATGAAGAGGTACTCGAGGTCGTTCTGAAGCACCATCGAGTGCACTTGGAGCGTGCTCTCGTTCTTACTCGCATAGAGCACTTCGCCTTCGACGAGCAGCGGTCCCCAGAGATGCCGTACGGTGAGTTCAAAGGCCTGCGTCGTCTCCATCGCAAGCACATCGAGGACGTCGGGCATATTGAGAAACGGTACAAGTACGACGGCCTTGATAGTGCGCAGCTCGGACGTCGTCTGCGCATAGAGCGCGACGCCGCGCGTCTCCTTCACAAACGACATGGGCTCGGCGACGGCGGCGAGAAGCACATCCGCACGCATGTGCCCGAGCGATTCGAGGTTCTTGGCCAAGACCGCGTTGAGCGGCAGCGGGTCGGGCAGCGGCGGCGGTGGCGGCACGATCTCACTCTCTTCATGGAGCACCGCGAGCTCCGGGCTTGATGGCGGCGACGGCGGGTTGCGCGATCGGCAGAGATCGCACTTGTCGCCAAATGGCAGCACCGAGAGGAGCTTGTGCAGTCGGAGGCTCTCGAGCACCTTGTGGAGTGCACTCGTCGAGACAAAGAACGACACGCGCGTGCCGCGGATGTGCTCGACGACAAAGCCGCACTGGTGCCAGAGCTTGTCGTCCGAGAGGCTCTCCCAGCTCACAACGCCGCTCCCATCCGGCAATATGTTGATGTATTGCAACAGGCGCGACCGGCCGATCGTCTTGCCCTCGATCTCGACGACCTCGACGCGCTCGTTGCCTTCGACGGGCGACGAATAGAGGAGCGCGCCGGCCGTGAAGAGCTCGCCAAAGAGGTGCAGCAAGATGTGTCGGAGGTGGTCCGTCTCAAGAAACGCGAGGCGGTCGAGCACGACCTCCACCGGCGTCGCTGGCAGCGTCACGGTCGCCCGCCGAATCGTTGCATGCGGCGGCCGAGCCTCGTAGAAAAGGACGTCGGGGTGGTGGCTGCTCGCGCCAATGTACTCGGTGTCGAGGGATCGGTACGTCATGAGCTCGGACGCCAACGACCGCCCGAGCGTGCGCCAGCGCTCGACGTCGTCGGGGCTACACCGAATGCGGCGAGGCGCATGCCGCTTCTTCTCTTCTTCGGGCTCGGGCTCGATGGGCGGCGGATTCAGGCTCGGTGGCTTGGCCGGCGCCCGCATCGCCAGCGTCGTGCACCGGTTGCAGACGCGGACGTCGATGGTCACATTCTTTTGTCGAACCGAGCGCGTGTCGACGCACTTGGGGCAGAACGGCTTGGCGCAGACGCAGCAGTAGAGCCGCGGCTTGGGCCGCGTCTTGGCGCAGCTCTCGCAGACCGCGTCGTCCTGCGGAAACGACGTCTTGAGCTCCATGAGCGAGAGGTGGTGCGACACGAGGACGTGCGAGAAGCGCGAGAGGCACACGAGCATGTTGCTGAGCCAGATCTGCGTCAAGTGCGAGACGTCGGACGAGCCATGGAGCTCCGAGAGGAAGATCGAGACGCGCACCGCGTTCCGGGTCAAATCGCGCGCCACCACAAAGCCGGACCGACGAAACTTGTGCCGCTGGACGTGCAGCGAGTCGGGCAGCGGCGGGCACGAGTCGAGTTCGAGCGACTCCCAGATCTGGACACCGACGCGCTCTTCGCTCGGGTGCGTAAAGACGCCGCGCTGCTTCCCGCCGGGCGACGGCCGAGGGGCGTTCTCGAGCCGCGTGCCGTACTTGAGGAAGACGTAGTCGCGGTGCGCGAGCGTGTGCTTGGCGTTCTGGAGCGCCATCCAGTTGATGCTAAGGCTCTCGTCCGGCGCCATCTTGGCCGCGTCGGCGGCGTGGAGCACCGTGCCTTCGAGGAAGAGCGTGCCAAAGAGCTCGCCAAACACGTAGCGGAACCGGTCCGTGGTCGGGACACTCAGAAAGGCCATGACGTCGGCGACCGACGACGACGGGATGAGCACGCTGCCCTTCATCGTGTAGAGCTGCTGGTCGTCGGCGATCTCGTAGAGCGCGACGCCGTTCGACTCGCGTAGCGGCACGAGGTGGAAGTCGCTCAAGAGGCCCATCGCGCGCGACTGCCCGATGAGGCAGAGCTTACGCTCCATCTCGTCGTTGACTTGTATCTTGAACTTCTTCTCGACGATGGGAAACATGGACGCCGGCGTCGTCGCGATGCCCGCGAGGATGTGCGGGTTGTGCATCGTCGAGGCGGCGGATGTTGACGAAGATGTACTGGAGCAGCTATGGGTCAAACGAGCTGCCTGGTGGCGAAGCAAAGCATCCATCTCTTCCGTAGGCAGAAACGCAGCCGTCGCTCTTGGCGCTGACCACCTCTCTCGATCCGGTCGTGTGCGCTCTCGCATCCGGATGCGGGGTTCCATTGCCTTACATAAGCTCTTCTATGTTTATCGACAGCGTCGGATTGGTTTATTTGATTGGAATTTGTACTTTGTAAGCCATTGCAGGGGTTTCGACGCGGAAAGTGCAACTTTGGACAGGCGCGCGACGTGTGTAACCTTCGCTTGTGTGCGTGCACTTGGCTGGAGTATGGCCACTGCTGTGACCAGCCTGGGCAAGCTCCTGCCTTCGTTGATGCTGAGCGAGAAGCCACTCGGCCATCGCGGTCTCGGTCCCTGCGTCACTCTGCCACTTGGTGCTGCGGTGACCCGAACGGGCTGTAGCGCCCAAGAGGCGACATGTACGAATACGTAGCACCGAGGAAGAGCCGAGGTGGTGGCGTGCAAACAGTACTCGCGGGTTGTAACCGCGCCTGTATGCAAGAACCCACCGCTACAGCGCACCTACTCTGGTGTAGCTATACCTCCTCTGTCACCGCGATGCTGGCCAGCCGAAATATCACTTGGTCTGCCCATTCTCAGCTCATGACTCACTGCATCATTGGCCCTCAACACACGACGCTAACGACGACGCACTTGGTGGGTTTCTTCTATAGACTAATACACGAGACAGATCCTCTTTATCTGACCGCGTCGTAGCGGCCGGCGCGGTGCTTGGAGTAGACGACCTGGTGGAGCTGGATCGTGCGCGCGCGGAAGCCCGCAGCGCAGTACTGGAGGTAGAACTCCCACATGCGCACAAAGACGTCGCTCTTGTCGATGTTGCCGGCCTTGACGTGCTCCTGGAAGCGCGTGTTCCAGACCATGAGCGTCTTGTCGTAGTCGGGACCAATGTTGTGGACGTCCTCGACGACCAGCTTCTTCTCGGCAAACTCGCACATTTGCTTGACGCTCGGGATGAAGCCGTTGGGGAAGATGTACTTGAGGATCCAGAGCTGGTGCGCCGTCTTCGTCGACCGGTTGGCCGTGATCGAGTGCACGAGCGCAAGGCCGCCCTTCTTGAGGCACCGGTTGATGACCGTGTAGTATTCGTCCATGTTCATGTAGCCGACGGCTTCGAGCATCGCGATCGAGACGACGCGGTCAAACTGCCCCGTCATCTTGCGGTAGTCGCAGTACGTGTACTGCGTGAGGTGGCTCACGCCCTCCTTCTCGGCCTGGATGCGCGCGCCCTTGAGCTGCTCGTTGGAGATCGTGATGCCGGTCACATGCACGCCGTAGTGCTTGGCAAAGAAGATGCCGAGGCCGCCCCAGCCGCAACCGATCTCGAGCACGGTCATGCCCGGCTCCATCTTGAGCTTCTTCGCGATCAGATGCAGCTTGTTTTCCTGCGCCTGGTCGAGGTCCGTGTCCGGAAGGTCCTTGAAGTACGCGCACGAATACTGCATCCACGGGTCGAGCCAGAGCTTGTAAAAGTCGTTGCCGATGTCGTAGTGGTGGGCACCGACGATACCAGCGCGCGACGGCGACTGGTAGTTGAAGATGCGGCCGCCGAGCGCGACAAACTTGGCGTCCCACGACTTGAAGAGCTTGCGCTTCGAGTCGGACGGCAGCAAGAGCAGCTTGGTCAGCAGCTGGTCAAGCGGAATGAGCGACTCCCACTGCTTGGCCATGTACGACTCGCCGATCGCGAGCATGCCTTGGCGCGACCACTCGAGGAAGATCTCGGGGTTGTGCACCGCAATGTCGCGACCAACGAGGATGTCGGCTTCCTTGAGCATGTCCAAAATGAACGTCTCGGCGCGGCGGACCATGACCGGGTACATGGCCTTGCGGAAGAGGAACGAGCTGACGGCGACGCCGGTGACGACACCGGCAGCCACCAAGGCGGTCTTCTGGTTGGCGCTGTTCATTGCAAATGGAAAAGTGACGACCATGAGCATGGCGATCTCTGTTGAGTAGACGCGCGAGTGCCATTTGGTACACACGGATTGGCTATAATTATAATTGGATCCACGTTTTCGAAATACGCCAAGGCCATTGGTCCAACGCGATACACCTAGCCCTACTTCATTTAGGACGAAACAGGACTCTTCAGGGCTCAAATTCAAGCCGGGCAGGTAGAAACACCCAACTTGTAGCGACGTGGGCGGGTGCGCCACCATGCAGGCAAGAATGAATGTTCCAGAGGCATGGATTTGTTGAGCTTATGACGGCGTGATGCGAAAGCTGGTGAGATTTCAGGGCCTTCCGCGAAGGGTTGTTCCCGTGTCGTATCCACACGGGCGTACCTACCCATAGCACCTCGATAAGGAAATGCCTCAAAGCATCGAACGCGCGCCGCGGAGGAATTCCGCGGGTATGTCGTACATCTAGATGCTAACGTAACATCATCATGCAACTGCACAATGCGCGATTGTGCCAATCGTCAGTGTGTGGACAGAAACATTGCGTGCGTATAGACTATCCGAATTACGCTGCGCGGGAAAGTCCTATTTAGGCTGAGGATCTCGGGGATGCCTTTCAGTGGATGCAAAGGGACGTGGCGACTGCACGCCAGCTGGTGCCAAGACGGCTTGTTGCAAACGACCGGCGAGGAGATGGCCCTATACAGTCGCCCGTGGGCACTCTGCAGAATCCACCGTGGAGCTACGCACGTCGAGCTCTTGCGCGCTGTGAGGTCCGGACGCGCGCGTCCAGTGCTTGGTGGAAGCCACGGCCATGCACCCGTGGCAGTGCAACTGCACCTTGTTTATGCAAGGCGATGGCGCATGACGTAATCGGATGGTTCGTAAGATACTACTCTTCTGCACGCCGACGAGATTTCGCTCCGGTACAGTAGCTTGTACCGGCTCGACGAAACCGGTGCAACTTGGAGCCAAGGGGCTGGACGAGGAGCCGCAAGAGGACGAGGCATACTAGCATCATCATCGGCCGGGCGAGTCGTCGTCGTAGCTCGTGTACGGTCCACAGCTTGTATGCTACAATATATTTTGTTGCACCTCGGACGGGTGCACCTCGGACGGCGGTCGGCGGTTCGATCTCCTACAAAGCGCGCACCGACAAACGCAGGTCGTCGGTAAATGGACGAATGATTTGACGATATTACCGACGTCGCAAGAGGTTTTTGATGGATTTTTACGTTATCCAAAGCGCTCAAGCTCACGGCAGCTCGGGCTTGGTCGGCGTCGGCCTACTCGTATCGAGCCAAACAACAGCGACGGACACGTTGTCGACCGTGCCGCGGTACAAGGCCTCTTGGATTAAATACGTGGCCATCTGCGCCTTGCGCCGCGCGCGCGACGCTTGGATCATGCTCGTGTCATTACGGTACTTTTGCTTCCACTCAAAGAGCTCGATGCTTGTCTCGGCGTGGCTGCCGCTACGCCACGACTCGCGGCCGCCGACCTCGCCCGCGAGAACGTCCAACACAAACGTCACCACCTACTTCGCCTTGGTACAAGGTATTTTGGTCAGTATGTACCTCGGCGCTCGTAAAGACGTCCCAGAGACCGTCCGAGGCAACGATGACAAATTTGTCACCTGGATCCCGCCGAAAGCACTTGAGCTCCATCTCGGCCGTGACATACCTATGCATCAGCCGCATGAGAGACGTCACAGGATCGGAAACGCACGGGCGCTGGTCGCGATCGCCGAAAGCCCGGGCGACCGCCAAGTTCGAGTTGATGCGGTACGCGCCCATGTCGGGAACGGGCTGTCCCCGGGCGTCGCGCAAGCCGTGCCACGCGACGCGACCGCCCATGCGCTCGACGCGCGCCTGCTCGATCGGGTCGTTGGGCTTGTGGTCGCGCGTGAGTGGGAGCGCCTTGCCGTTGCGGCAGAGCACGGCGCGGCAATCTCCGACGTTCATGGACCAAATGAGATCGTCCATGAGGAAGACAGCGGTCGCGGTCGAGCCTTGGTACTGCCACTCCTTTCTACGCAGCAAGGACGCAGATAGTAAAATGTCGATGGCATTGCGAGCATCGTGTACTTGTAGATGATTTCCTTGTCGAGCTGCGCAAACGAGTCGCGCAGAATGCGCTCCATAGCGTCGATCGTGTGGCCGTCGTCGACCTCTAGCTTCTCCGCAATGACCGCGTACAATCGTTCCTTGAGGTACTGAGCGACTTCGGCGCCACCATGCCCGTCAAAGATGGCGGCGAACCGGTTGTTGGGCGAGATAAAAACCGCGTCCTCCATCGTCGCCCGGTCGCCGCGGACTTCGGCCGAGCTAATGAGCAAGTCCAGATCCGACGTGGTGTTGCGCTTCCGAAGCTGGACCGAATGGCCACCAGCGCGCGTCGTACGCCGCTCCAGAGACAGCGGGATCGTCGCGTGCGTCGCCTCCATCGACGCCGTGCCGTACTCGTGCACGAAGCCAAGAAGGACAGCGGCGGCCGCGGCCCGCGACAGAGGCGAGCTCTGCTGGCCAGCGCAGCCCTCGATCGGCGCCGGCGCGAGCCGAAGCATGGGCATTTTGCTTAGGAGGCCATGGCGCCGGGCGTGGTCCCGGAGCAGGCCCACGACGTGCTGCATGGACGATACTCCTACGTCGACCAAGATCTTTGTCCCCACGTCGTGTCAACACGCCGAGGGAATCCGGATACTCGTATCCGGTAAAGATTTGGATTGGTTAGAAATGTAGGATTATGGACCAATGAAATACGCGACCATAATTTGGCGGGGTTCTAGAAACGAATATTCATTCTCAGAGGATTCCAAAACGGGGCGGTGGTGGATTTTAGGGTTCCAATTCCGCGGCAGGACACAGGAGGATGGCGACGGAAGAGACAACGACCACGCCGCTGGTCAAGCCCAAGAGCGCGTACGCCCACTTCCAGAAGCATGTCATGAGCTCGATCCGCTCCGAGCTGAACCAGGTCGGTAGCGCCGGCAACGACGCGTCGATCGCGGCCCAGGTCGATGGGGCCGGTGTCGACCTCGGTGTCGTCCAGCGCGAAGTCAGCGCGCGCTGGGCCAACCTGACGCCGGAAGAGCGTGAACCGTACTTGGACGCAGCCCGCGCCGACCGGCTGCGCTACGAAGAAGAGTGCTTGGCGCGCGATCGTCAGGTGGAAGAAGAGCGCGCGCGGAAGCGCGAAGAGCGCGACCGCATTGACGGCAAGCGCGAGCGCAAGCCGACCGCGGCCGAAGTCGCGCGTGAAAAGAAGCGGCCGGCCAAACCGCTCACGGAAGAGCAAGTTGAGTCGAAGCGCGCACGTCAGGAGCTCGTGAGTCAAGCCCGGAGCGAACGGGACGCGCTCCGTGCAGAGGAGCAGCGCCAGAAGGACGAGCTCGCAGCGAAAAAGGCCGGGTCGGCCTCGGCGCGACTCCAGTACCTCCTCTCACAGAGCGACATCTTCAAGCACTTTGGAGTCACGGAGCCGAAGAAGACAACGACGTCCAAAAAGGCCAAAAAGTCCGAGCGGGAAGAGGACGACGAGCTCCTCCACGACAAGCACGACACGGTCCGCCTCACCGTGCAACCGAGCGTGATCAAGTTTGGCACGATGCGGCAGTACCAGCTCGAAGGCCTCAGCTGGATGGTCAACCTCGCCAACCAAGGGATCAACGGCATTCTCGCCGACGAGATGGGTCTCGGGAAGACGCTCCAGACGATCTCGGTCCTCGGGTACTTTAAGGAGTTTCAGAACGTCTCGGGCCCGCACATTGTGCTCGTGCCCAAGTCGACGCTGAGCAACTGGCTCGCCGAGTTTGCGCGCTGGTGCCCGTCGCTCCGCGCGGTCAAGTTTCACGGCGACAAGGACGAGCGGCAGCGCATGATCGACGACGTGCTTTGCCCCGGCACGTCCAACGATGACCGGCGCTTTGACGTGTGCGTCACGACGTTTGAAATGTGCTTGAAGGCCAAGACGACGCTGTGCAAGTTTGCGTGGCGGTACCTCATCATTGACGAAGCGCACCGCATCAAGAACGAGTCGTCGCAGTTCTCAACCGTCGTGCGCATGCTCGCGACCGAGCACCGCCTCTTGCTCACGGGCACGCCGCTCCAGAACAACCTCCACGAGCTCTGGGCGCTGCTCAACTTTTTGCTGCCCGACGTCTTTAGCTCGTCCGAGCAATTTGACGAATGGTGCGTCGTCGATGCTGATTCCAATAGGCGACGCGATGGATTAGGTTCAACTTGGACACGGAGGACGAAGAAGCCAAGAAGCAGATGATCACGCAGCTGCACCGGATTCTGCGACCGTTCATGCTCCGCCGCCTCAAAGCTGACGTCGAGAAGAGTCTGCCACCCAAGAAGGAAACGTTGCTCTTTGTGGGCATGACGCCGATGCAGAAGGCTCTCTACAAGACGCTGCTCTTGCGAGATATGAACACGCTCACGGGCGGCACGACGGCCTCGAAAAGCGCGCTCCAAAATATCGTCATGTATGCGATGGTACTGGACAACGTTTGTATCCTGGACTGTGTAGGCAACTGCGCAAGTGCTGCGGCCACCCGTACCTTTTCGAGGGCCAAGAAGACCGGACACTGCCGCCGATGGGCGAGCACCTTGTCGACAACTGCGGCAAGATGGTCCTCATGGACAAGCTGCTGCGTCGCCTCAAGGAGCGCGGGTCGCGTGTGCTCATTTTTTCTCAAATGACGCGTGTCCTCGACATTATGGAGGACTATTGCCGCATGCGCCAGCACGAGTACGACTCGTAGTATCGGGGATGGCAGCATGCTCATGTGGGTGGTTAGGTACTGCCGCATTGACGGGCAAACGTCGTACGACGAGCGCGAAGCGTCGATCGACGCGTACAACCGTCCGAACTCGTCCAAGTTTATCTTTCTTCTGAGTACGCGCGCGGGCGGTCTTGGCATCAACTTGTACACGGCCGACATTGTCATTTTGTACGACTCGGACTGGAACCCGCAGGCCGATCTGCAGGCGCAAGACCGGGCCCATCGCATTGGCCAAAAGAAGGAGGTCCACGTGTACCGCTTTGTGACGTCCAACTCGGTCGAAGAAAAGATCATTGAGCGCGCGCAGCAAAAGCTCAAGTTGGATGCCATGGTCGTGCAGCAAGGTCGTCTCCAGGAGAAGCAAAAGAACCTTTCGAAAGCCGACATGCTCGACATGATTCGGTTTGGGGCGGACGAAGTGTTTCGTGCGAACGACGACCAGCAGATCACGGACGACGACATTGACGCGATCTTGGCCAACGGCGAAGCGCGCACGGAAGAGATGAACCAAAAGATGCAAGCGCATGACAAGGGCGACTTGCTCAACTTTAAGCTCGACGGCGGCAACATGCAGGTCGTCGACGGCGTCGACTACTCGAAAGAGAAGGAACGCCTTGAAGAGCTCAAGCGTCTCGCCGACCTCGAGTTCGCCAAGACGCTGGCTGACGGCATGGGCAAGCGTGAGCGCCGCACCGTGCTCAAGACGGACGAGGTGTCGAGCAAGGTCAAGGCGTCCAAGCTCAAACAGCTCCCCAAGGCGCTTCGGTATCCGTTTTATTCTTATGCACGTTTGTATCAATGTATCGAGTAGATTGCCGCGCATGGACGAGTGGCAGTTTTTCCAGCGCCACCGCCTCGTCGAGCTCCACGAAATCGAAGTCGCGGCGTACGAGGCTGCCAAAGCGACGTCGCACGATGACCTCAAGGACGCCAACTTTTTGTCGCCCGAGCTCCAAGAGGAAAAGGACGCGCTGCTCCGGGAGGCGTTTGCGGACTGGAACAAGCCGCAGTTCTTCCTCTTCGTCAAGCTCTTGGGGCGGTACGGCCGCGCCAACCTCACGGCGGTCGCGCGCGAGATGAGCAAGCCGCTCGATGAAGTCACGCGGTACGCCGAGACGTTTTGGCGCCGCGGCCCCGAGCTCAACGACTGGGAGAAGCTGCGCAAGTCGATCGAGAAGGGCGAGTCGAAGCTTCTCGAGATCGAGCGCCTTGCCGAGCAAACGGCGCTCAAAGTCAAGCGCTACGAGAACCCGCTCGAGGACCTCGTTATCAACTACCAAGGCAAAGGCGGGAAGCTTTTCACGGAGGAGGAAGACCGGCTCTTGCTGTGCCTCGTCAACACGTACGGGTATGGCGCGTGGGACAAGATCAAGCGCGAGATCCACCAAGCAGACGTGTGCACGTTTGACTACTACCTCAAGAGCCGCAGCTCGGCCGAGCTCGGGCGTCGCTGCGATGCGCTCATGCGCATTTGCGAAAAGGACAACTTGGACTTTGAGCAGAAAGAGAAGCGCGATAGCGCGCTCAAGGCCGAGCTCCAGCAACAGCGCAAAGACCTCGCCGAGCGTATCGCGGCGGCCAAGGCCGACCTCAACCGGGTACACTGCATCCTCCATGCTGCTTTACATATCGACTCATGTCGACCAATGTAGAACCAAGCGCGCGTGGACGAGATGATCATGAAGGAAGCCAAAAAGATGCAAGCGCAGCGCGAGGCGAAGCGCGCCAAGAAGGAAGGCAAGGCGCCGGCGGTGGAAAAGAAAGCGTCGGCGACCGACATGAGCGAGAGCCTCGTGGAAGAGCTCGTGCAGATGATTGCCACGTCGTCGGACAAGGAAGCGTCGACGATCGCGCTCAAGTTTTGCGCCAAGCACGTCAAGTGCCAGCTGAGCTCGATTTTGCAGCAGATTCAGCACATTGCGACGCCGGTACGATCTTTCGCGCGTCGGAAACAACCAACACGCGGGACATAGATGGCCAACGCCAAGGAAGGCCAGCCGTCCTGGGACATCCACATGGACTATTTGAACTACCTCCCGACCAAGTACGGCGCTTGACCAAGCATGGATGCTCATGCTCCACGCTGTAGGAAGCGACCAGCGTCGGTGCTGACGTCCGATGAGCAGCAAGGCGACGCAAAGCGCTTGCCCAAGAGCCCGTGGTCGCCAACGGCCATGAAGCAAGCGTCGACGCCAACCAACAGCAAGAAAGCCAAAAAGGTACCAGTGGTGCACTGTGTACTGTAATGTCTTATCCGACGTAGGCGCTGAGAACAAGAAGCCCGTGAAGAAGCCGCGGAGCGCATACGTTCTTTTCAGCCTCGCCAAGCGCAACGAAGTGCGTGCGTCGATGCCCGAGGGCACGGGCATCGTGGAGCTCATGTCGAAGCTCACGGACCTCTGGCTCGCCATGACGGACGAGGAGAAGGAGCCGTGGAACGAGGCCCAGGAGACGGACAAATTGAGGTACGAAAAACACGCGGGTGGTGAGATGGAGCTCACGCGACGCCGGTAGATACGAGCGCGAGATGCGAGAGAACGCGTAGTAGGTCCATATAAAGTGCATATGCCACCGAACGTATGTATATTTATGTGAAGAATCCGCGTCGGATGAGCCCAGTGGGATGCAGTCGTTCGACGGTCGCCGGCGAGTCGGTCCTGGGTGTCGCCTACTGTTGCCAGTTGACGTGGCTTGCTGACGTTGCAGTGTGAGTCACACGCCGCTAGCACCAAATATCAGTCGCCGATTTCCCTCGCAAGACGCAAGAAGCCGAAGCCGATGCCCCACCTGCCGACGTCCAGACCCGTGCGCGTGATGATCCCTGCCATTGATTTGGATAAGGACGAAGCGCCACGTACAGACAAGACGATGCCCGGTGTCCACGTCGTGTCGATCACAGCCACACTCGTTCCCGACGCACCGCGCACTACGTAGACCTGCGTCTGAAGTGTCCTTAGTGTATGTACGACTGACTTCATTCGTTTGGTTGGCACGGCAAAGAACCGTCGCTGCACAAGAGTCGGTGTTGGAGGAATAATCCAGGGTCGTCCGTGCCGTGCTCGGACAACTGCTGAGACGCGCCACCTACCTTGCTCTTTCTAGAGCTCCATTGGACTGCCACGTCATGCCCGGCCTGGACGATGCTACGCATGTTTCCTCTTGCGGCCGCATTGATACGCAACATGGACACCGCTGCACGGGCGCCGTTCCAACACACGCACTTGGTCGACTCCAACGATGGCGCACAAGTCTCGGGTTGTTTGCGTCGGCTTACTTGTGTGCTGTTGTCTGTTCGGTGGTGGACATCTCGACCGACATTGGTCGCATCGTCTCGTTGCGTCGTACAAAGGGCCATCGCAGCGCGGAGCCCGAGTCTCCAGTAATGAGTAGGCCGTCGCCTTCAAGCGGGTGGTGCGGCCAAGTGCCTTTCTTTAGGAGAACAAAAAGACGTTTTCTGCTACGGTCGAAGACCCGTGTTTCGAGCCGCGACGATGCGCCGGTTTAGCTCGACGATGACGGGGCTGTCGGCGGCGTACCCGCCGCGCTGCATCAGGTCGTCTTTCTCTCGCTCCAGGCGCGTCGCCTCGGGATGGACATCGCGCCCGCTCACCTCTCGGAGCATATCGAGCTGCTTCTTGATCGCTCGGAGCTCTTCGCGGTCGCCGTCCAAGACGAACCGCTCCTCGCGCGCCCGGTACTTGAGCCGGAGCTTATCGATTTCACTTGCTTTCTCGTCTTCTTGCTTGCGCTTCTCGCGCTGCAGCAGAAGCGACAGTCGCTCCACCTGCGCGATGAGCTCCATTTGCGTCGCGTCTGCCTTGGCTTTTTCGAGGTCCATGTCGTGGATCCGCTTCTCCTACTTCACCATTGGAACAAATGAAAATGATCGCCTTGGTGCGTACGAGGGCCGCGATTGTCGCTTCACAGCGCACGACCTCTTGCCGAAGGGCGTGCTCGGGGCTCTTGCGCAGCTCGGCGCGGACGGTCGACATGTCTTGCTCCAGCGAGGTGGCGCGCGCTTCGGCCCGCTCGGCCCGACCTTGCATCGCCCGCAACTCGATTTGCACTCGCTCGAGCTGCGCCTCCATGCTCTGCAGCGTCGCCGACGTCTCTCGCTTCACCCGACGCTCGTTGGCCTCGGTCTCTTGCTTCAGGAGCTCGCTCTGGAGCCGCGCCGACTCTTCGGCGTGTGCGAGGCGTCGTTCACGCTGCTCCAGCTCGGCTAGCGTTTTGCGCAACTCGGTCTCAAGGGCCATGTACTCGTGCTGCGCGGCGCGGACCTACTCGCAGCTGAGTCGTATCACGTCATCACGGCGGACAGTACCGTCTGGACGCGATCTTTCTCGCGACTCGCCCACTCGGCTTCAAGGGCTTCCATGCGTCGGTGGTGCGTGGCCTGCAGCTCGCGCTGCTTCTCCGCGAGGAGTCGCTTCTCGGTGGCCAGTGTCGCCACACACGTGCATGCTACCGTCGTTGTGGGCGCCTGTACAGTTGGATGAGTCGCGAGACACTGTCGTTCTCTCGCACCGGCGCCATCAAGGCTGGTACGGGTGCTGCTACCCCGCTTCGAGTCGTCGGCGATCCTTGTACATTGTCGTCGTGATGGGTCTGCGTGTCTTGTCGAGGCGTGCTTGGCGCCGACGGCCTTGGACGGGGGCTCGCGGGCAACGGCGGGTACATTGGCGCGATCGGGTACTTGTCTTGCAAGGTCGCGACAACGTGCAAGACGGCGACGACCGTGTCCGAGCCGGGGCGCACGACGGCCGGTACATACACTTCGCAGTGCGTAAAGGTTGTCACGCTCGGTGGCTCGTCGTCGTGGCGGTGGTCGGTGTTTTCTGCACGAACGTCGCCGCAGAGGTCGCAGCGCTGGCTCTGCTTGAGCATGCCGAGGTACGCAAGGCTGAGCGTCGCGACGGCGATGCTGTCGCGGGCGGCGGTCTCGAGATGCAGTTGCCACGGTCGTTGAAGCTGCGACGCTTGCACGTGGCAAAACACCGTCTTGGCCGCCTCAACGTCAACGTCCTCTTTCGCGCGAAGCGAGACGCGAGATGTCGACACTACGTTTGGAGATTGAGATTGAGATGGCAGGCCATGGCGACGCACAGCGAGGGCCGTCCTTGGTCTCGACGAGCGGCGCTTCAAACGCGACGTGCACCGGGGTACTGGACGCGTCAAAGTGACTACCGGCTTTGATCGAGAGAACCTGGAGCACGAGCACCTGTGGCGATCCGGGGCGCCGAAGCGTCGCTGGCGGCGGCCTCTCGGAGGTGTAGCTGTAAAAGATGGTGCCCACCGCGCGGCCATCGTCTTCGTAGAGCGCAGCCGAGTGCACATCGTGCAGCAGCGTCGCGTGCAATTGCATCTCACCGACGGTGACAGTGACGTCGTCACGGGCCGTGGGCGAGAGCCAACAGAGCCCGTCCGTCCACATGAGCACAGCGTCTCGATGCTCCGCCACGACCATCGGGGCGCGAAGGCTTTCGTCCGAGCTCGATGTGGTGAGTTCCATGATGCCGCCGTCCGCGTCCAGATGCTGTCGATAAGGGAGCTCGATATAGTCGATGCTGCCGTAGAAGGCGCTTGGCGTCGGCTCGACTGCGACAGAGGCTTCGGACTCGGGTGCGGGTTCTACGCTGGGTCGAGCTTCGAGCACGAGATCCAGTGCGACATCCACGACCCCCAACGGCGAGCCTACGCGTTCTCAACGAAGAGTGCGTCACGTGTTGTGTCTACCTTTGGTCGCGTGGGAGGGCTCAAAGGGGTAGCTGCCTTCAGCGTGCGCGGGCAAGTCGAGCTCGGCGAGCGCTCGTAATGGCACTTCAACACGCCCGAGGATGCGGTCGACCGTGCAGAGGAAGAGAGGCAAAGGAGTCGCCAGCGTGTGTTCGCGCAGATAGGTTAGCGAGCTCTGGAGTCGAAAGACGCCGCGGATGAGACCAAAGTCGGCCGACTCGAGCGACGTGAACGCATCGCTTTGTACGAGCACGTCGAAGAGCGAGTACGCCAGCCAGAAGCCCGCGCTCTTGATGGCGGCGATCTCAGTCGGCGACGATTTCTGAAGCAGTTTGGTGATCATGGCCGTCATCTCGCGCGCATTGACCAAGGTGATGGTGAGGAGGAAGAGATCGGTCGCTGTCTCGATAGGTCCGACGACTAGGCACTCGGGCGACTCGGGCGCCATGTGCTCGGCGGTCGTGGCCGTGGTGGTCGTGGTGGTCGTGGCAGGGAGGGCCTGCGGCGTCGCCGGCGCGGGTACCGCGGTCGCCTTGGCGATTTGACTCTTGACGTACACTTCGCCGTGGTGCTTGGAGTTGAGAATTTTGACCCAGCGCAGCGCCGTGTCGGGCGTCCTAGCGATCAATTGAATGCATTGACGACAGAATTCCGATGAGCCGCCAAGAAGGTACCGCAAGTCGAGGAAGAACCAGCCAAGCGTGTGCACCTGGGCGCCAATGCCAAAAATGTAGATCTTGACGGTTGGGCGCATGCTCTTGAGGCGGCGAAAGTCGGCGAGCGAGAGGTGCCACCGCAACACGCCGGCGTCGCCGCGCCAGACGTAGCCGTCAAAGCCCTTGGACGAGGACCGCTTGCCGCTGCCGCTGCTCCGGAGGTCGCCGTTGATAGAGCATTGGATGCGCAGCTCCAGCGCCGCCGGGTCGATCGAGGACGCTGCGAACGTCAAGTTCCGCGCTCGGCGCACATGGATCTCGAGCTCCATCGCGTCGGCTATGGCAGGTGCCGAACAAGTGCGCTTTGGTAGGTACGGTTCAAATCGTACTTTAGCGGGCGAATCCACCAAATCCGCATGCTCAACCAGAGGTCGTACGGTTTTCTCGACTTGGTCAAGGGAGCATTTGGTCGCTCGTTGCGCATAGCTCGATGATTGTGAATCCGAAAAGCTCCAGTACGCCCACGACCGCACGCAGCAGCTTTTGGCCGTGGGCGTGAGAATCTCAGCGGCCGGCGACAGTGCGCTGACGTGAGGCTCCTACAAGCTGGAACGGCTATAAAATGTATATGAAGAGATTGCCCAAGTACTGGGCCTCTATAAAGCTTCAGGGGCTGAAATTTGGTAAGGTTATCTAAAACATTATTGTCTATAAGTGTAGTTGATGTACAAGCCACGCCTGCTCGCTCCACTCGTGTCCATTTCAAAGCTCATGACGCGAGCCAGCGCTTCGTATCGTGCGCGGCTACGCAGGAACCTTTGCACGAAACATGGTCGCCAGGAATCGTTTCCTTGGATCGAATGCGGTCACTGGCGCGTCGAGCGAGGAAGGCGTTAAAGCCAGGCAACATTCACGAAGTCGAGGCCATTGACAAAGGAATGCGAGATTGCCGTTTCCGATCAAGAGCTTCGTGCTCCGCGAGGATAGCGGCCGCCTCGTCTTGCAAGCACGGCTCCATCCAAAGTTGCATGTACGAGATCATGGCGGCGCTCCCGTAGCTTCTCAGCGACCGCCTTCAGGGTGTCGGGAAGCGACGATGGTCGAGAAAGAGCGTCACGATGTCATTGGCGCAGTTTTCGTGCGTGATGCTCGGATCTTAGGCGCTGGCTTCACTCAGATCGTACGCGCTCATCCCGTCGCTCGACCGGGGGCTTTCGACGTCCTGTGGCATCAAGGTCAAGGTCAGAAGACAACCTTGCCGTGGACAACGCGAGGAGTGTCCGACATGAATGTCGTTGACTTCAGCGAGCAACCACGTGAATGCCAATCTTCCCGTAGGTGGCCAGGCAACTCGCCGCCCAACTTGGGTCGCAGCTTGCCACACACATCAAATGTATGTCCTTTCCCCGCCCTGGGGCTTGCAAAACGGCACTACTGCCGAAGATGCTGCGCCGTTGCCTTGGTGTGGTAATCTTGCTAAGCGACTGCCTCGTGCGCTACGGCCAAAGACCTTTCGCGGCGCGGGACATGAAAGGCGAACCGCTGACCACCCGTTTGGTACTTTGGTATGGCGGGTCGTTTCCTAATCACGGCTCCGTGGCTTTGTCGATCCACGCGGCCGTGCACTTTCTCAGGGTCGTCGAAATTTGCGATGTGGCGCGAACGCCTCCCAAGGCGCTTCTACGCGTCCTACTGGTATAGTGCAGGCGCCCCTTTCGTAGCCTACGCGATTGTCTTATTGTCTTGTGCATTGGTGGACGATGCCTTTCTTTCAACAGTCTCGCTCACTGGCTCGTGCAACGCTACTCGCCCCGATTTACTCTGTATAGCCGCGTTTGCGGTCCACAGAACCACTGCTGGCGACGCATCGCATGCATTGTCGAGCGTAATAGCAGCCTCGTCGCTTCCTTTCGAAGCGCTGAGAGCGTCGTTTTGGCAGCCTCCGTGCGTCGTCCAAGGCGCTCCGATCTTCCGGTGGCCCCACATGGTCTACGTGCACCACCAGCGGATGACACGCCGCCCGCGATGGGCACCGCACGCCGTTTGATTGGCTAAAAAAGCAGCCCAGCCTCCGCTTCGCGCGCCAGCTGCGTCAATTGAGCCAATCCATGGCCGCCAGCACATAATAGGTCGACGCCACCTGGACGGGCTCCACGTCAAAGGCCAGCAGCTGATTTGGCTTGGACCTGACTCGCGACGCAGCTGGTGGGCCTGGAACCACAAGTAGCCCAGGCACGGGCGGAGGACAGGCAGAGGGATACCAGCTGGGCTCGACTTCTGCCCAGCTGGGCTGGCCTGTCCCTTCAACGATACGCACGAACTTGTGACTCAGCCCCCCGGACTCTTACAAAATGCCTATCAACTGTCATCAAGGTGATTTAATGGAAAAAAGAAAAGCAAGTTTGGCCGTCGCTCGGCGCACCAGACCCATTACTCGACAGCCGCCAAGTCTATCCCAAACGACGTCAACGAATCAACTCGTTTGGTTTTTGACATCGCAGACCATTCTGTCTTTTACCTCGCCGAGCGCAAGCCAACGATGACCCAGCACGCGCAACTCGCCACGCCAGTCCAGTCGAGCTCGGACCTTGGCGTCGCACCGCGCTCGGCCCTCGAAGTGTTCCAGTATTACTTTTCCGGGAGTCTCTACTGGATCGGTGGCTGGTGCTTCCTCGCGGGCTCGATTCTGTACTACCCGCGCTACTACACCCTCTACGACATTGAAGGCCATGGCGCGGTCATTGGCGCGTGGCTCTTTGTCGTCGGGTGTTTTACGTTCCTCATCGGCAGTTGCTGGGACGCGATCTGCGCCAAGGCGTGCGAAGGCACCTCGAGCCTCCGGTTCTACCCGCTCATCTGCTCGCTTTGGAACGTCGTCGGCTCGGTGCAGTTTGTCATTGGCGGTTTTTACTTTGTCCCGGTGGTGTACGCGACCGCGCCGTCGGCCGGCTGCTTCCTCTTCATCACGGGCTGCTCGTGCTTCTTGATCGCGCTGGCGATTGACCTTGCGCGCATGTTCCAAGCCGGCTCGATCCGCGGCCAAGCGTGGTGGTACATTGCTGCTGTCTTCAACGTCCTCGGCAACATTCTCTTTATCGTTGGCAGCTACTACTTTCTGCCCGAATTCCTCACGCCGACCGACGACTCGGAAGAAGCACTGGCGATCGCGACCGACAACTCGGTCTTTGCCATCAACAACTTTGTCGTTGGGTCCATTGCTTTCGTCCTCGCGCCCACGGCCCAGCTCCTTGCGCAATACCTGGAGCCGGTGGGGGTCGCCGAGAGCAACGACAAGGTGATCGTCTAAGCCCTTGGAAGCTCGTTGCTCGTGTCATGTTAACATCGCGTTAGAATATATATATACTATGAAGCTAGAAACCAGGTTCACGAGAGGTGGCACTACGATTGGATGGTCATGATGGATGCATCCTTTGACGAAGGCCTCTACCAATGTGCAGATCGTCGCGGGTCCAAGGTGACACTTGCGACGATACTACTGTCGACATTTGGCTCACAGCGTTCTCGTTTGCAGCTGGGCGACGTGCAACCATCCATCACGGCGCGGCCGTCGAGCGACAGGGCTGAAAACGGTGCGTTTCCTCGTCACCGGTGGCGCATCAAGCTCGGTGGTGGCCCACATCACGCGCTTCCACCTCCATGCTCGTTGAACTCGAAGAGAAATTCCGTCCATCTTCTTCGTTTTGAATGATAGAGGAAGAAGATCTTTGCCCATCGTTGTTCATCTTCACGACAGGAGCACTCTCGCTATCACTGCGCAACGTACCAGTCCCAGCCTGGGACCGGACAACGTGCACCTGGGACTCCCAGGTGCACGTTGTGGCGATCACTTGCGAAGCCCAGTTCGGTCTGTTTGATCCTCAAATGGACTGTTCTTTCGACGCGATCGGGGCACGGATGGCTGGCGATCGAGGAGGAACGATGGCTTGGTCGGCAAGATGATCGTCGTCCGCACGATCGATGGTGTAATACGTTCATTCATCGTCAAATCTGGGGCCGAAAACTAAGGGCGAGATATCCATTGTCGTACGTAGCGCTTAGTGGCGGTGCTCCTTGTGCGAGCAGTCGCTGATCACGACCTTGGACGGGTAGACGCCTTCCTGGTTCATGCACGCAACCATGTTCTTGCGGATTTCGTCGGCAAGGTTGCGGTCGCGGCTGCGGAGCCAGAGCTCAAAGCGGTACGAGTGCGAGTCCTTCTTGTTCTACCAGCACGCATATAGTGATGCATTGACACGGCACCGCGCGATACCTTGTGCACGACGCGGGCGCCCGTGACTTCGTTGGTCGGGTCAATGGTTTCGCCAATCATGCCAAGCACGAGCTTGTCCCAGAGCTCGTCGAGCGGGCCAGCCTGCAGCTCTACAAAGGCGCCATTTAGCCTGCGTTTCGCCGCCCGCAGAGCGTACTGATCGAGAGCTGCCACTCGCCGCCGCTCATGTTGGCCGAGTCCTCCCACTCGGGGCGAATGCCTTCCTTGAAGACGGCGAACGATTGCACGGAGCGGTCCGTGAACTTCTTCTTGACGACGCCGTCGTTGAGCACCTGGGACGGCTTGGGGATGTTGTTCCAGTAGCCCCAGAACTCCTCAACGGTCGAGAAGGTGCAGAGGCGGTGGAGGTTCTCGCCGTAGTTGCTCTTGGAGCTACCAGAATCGCGCAGCTCCCAGATGCTCCACGCCGACTCGAGGGCGTGCGTCTCCGTTGGCTCGGTCGCCATCGTCGCTATGTCAAAAATGGCTGTCATTTTTTTCACATCCCGAGTCTGCATACAAAAAGCAAGCTATTTAATAAAAACACAGTGTGGGGCGCCCATGAATGGCAGTGTATCCGGAAATGCCGGATACGTACAAAGTGGCATATGCCGAAACGAAGCACTTCAATGCGGGACGAATTACGGATAACGCAATTAGACTTACGGATACGGCCAAGTGTCCGGATACGCTCGAATCCACCCTGCCACGTAGCATTTTCCGAGTTGCTCAAGATGCGCTTTGCCACGTGTGCCCTCGCTGTGCTCGCTGCGCTCGTCGCCGCGAAGGAGGACCTGCCGCCGACGGCGCCGCTGCGCATTGGCGTCAAGTATCGCCCTGAGTCGTGCGACCGCAAGTCCGAGAGCGGCGACCACCTCTCGATGCACTACACGGGCACGCTGCGCAAGGACGGCTCCAAGTTTGACTCGAGCCGCGACCGCAACCAGCCGTTCGAGTTCACGCTCGGGTCTGGCCAAGTCATCAAGGTACGGTCATTGCTTGCAGCCAACGCGAGTATGGTTCTGATCGCACAATCTTTGTAGGGCTGGGACCAAGGGTAGGCTGCCGCCGTCGCCTTTGACCATTGATCACTCATCTCATGTGCGTTGTCTAGTCTTGTGGGTATGTGCGTTGGTGAGAAGCGCCGCCTGACGATCCCGTCAGGCATGGGCTACGGCGACCACGGCTCGCCGCCCACGATCCCGGGCAAGGCGACGCTGGTCTTTGACGTCGAACTCCTCGCGATCAAAAACCCCAAGACGGAGCTCTAAACCAATGTACACCATCGTATTGTTCGTCATACCATATTTGCACTGGCTCTACTGCATACAACTACTGCCGCGAATCTCGCGCCGTGCGCAGGTCCTGGGCTTGAAACACTGACTCTTGCTCGAGCTTGCGCTTGGTGATATCCGACTTGTGGAACCGGGCGAGGACTTTTTCTTCAAACGCTGCCTCGTCAGCCATGCGTTGGGCGTCCTCGGGACTTGTTGCAGTGGGCTTGTCGTTCCATAGCATCGCCCACGTGGTGTGGAGCACGTCCTGCGCCGTCTCCACGAAGCTCATACTCTCACGCGTCTTTGGCAAGCTCTCAGGGGCTGTCGACTTGGGACGACCGGCTAGGATCGACGCGACCTTGGCGCGCAGTGCGTCCGGCGTTGCATCGAGCGACGAGGGCGACGTCACGTCTGCGAGGGTGGCCCAGAGGTCTTCGATGTGCAACGGCGTTGCCTTACGATCACCAGTATCCATGAGCTTGGCATAAAACTCTTTCCATGACGTTTTCCACGACTCGAGCGAGAAGAAATCATCCCACGTCACCTCGTCTTCTTCGTCCCACATCTCGCGCAGACGGACCCAGAGCGCCGCAACGCTCCACGTGGCCGGCGCCTCGAGAGTGGCTTCCGACAACTCTGTGTCTTCCTTTGCGCCAATGTCGTTTCTCGTTGCAGCCGCGTCTGCGCTCGTCAAAGGCGTGTCGGGCGCGGCGTCGCCCAAGACGGCAACCTCCATTGAACGCAAACGGGCTTGGAGCGTGTCGATCTTGGCGGCCATGGCCGCGAGCTCTGCTTTTCGCTGGGCCTCCTTGCTCTCTTCAATCTCGACTTCTGCGCGCGCCTTGGCGAGCATGACCAGCCGCGCCGCCTCGTTCTCGCTCTCCATTTCGATTTTGACGCTGTGGAGGTAGAGGCCGACCATGGTGCCGGGTCCAAACATGATGAAGCCATAGAACGCTAGCCGCGGACCAGAGACGAGATCGCTACGTACACAGAGAGACCATATGAGCGGATGTAACGTCTTGTCGAGCCCACGTACTCGAAGGCGCGCGCCGGCGCCGCCGAGAAGAGCTGCTTGAAGGACGCCATCGATGGCCACTGGCATCCGGATGGCCTCCCAGGATAGAAACACGCAACTCTAGCACACGCAACCTCGGCCTTGGAGACAACGACCTAAGCACCTTCCACGAAGCTGCAGACAACGAGGAATTGTATGTCGCCACACTCTTGTACGCCTGAGTGGGTTAACGCCTCGAGGTAGCTGATGTTAGCCTCCAGAGGACGACGCCAGGCGGCTTTTTCTCATGATGGACGACATGGCCACGTGCGATAATGTAATTGTTGGTCGCCTTGTCTAGCAGATTGAACACTATTAGACCATACTGTGCACGCGCGACTGAAAGTCTGCTTCGAGCTGCTGTAGTCGCTCCTGGGCTTTGTACAGCGTGGCGTTGGCCTGCTCGAGGTTGGGTGGCAGGCCCTGGAAGCGATCGACCTTGGCGCGAACCTCCTTGTTAGCAGCTTCGAGTTGTGCGCACTCTTGCTCGAGGCTAACGAGCACGTGGTGTTGCAAGGACCTACGCGTATGTTCAACATTAAGCTTTCATACAATCTCGTCGGCGTACGACGCTACGTCGAAGTAGCCGCGGTCGGCGAGGATCTTGTCAAGCTTGGCCTACGATCGGTGGTGGGATCGTCATCGTGCCCAAGCATTCAGAGCGTACAATCTCCTTTGAATACACTGCGTGCTTTCCTGCATACTCTTTGAGGCGACCGTCCATCGTCGCCACATTCTCTGCGCCAAAACCACACGTCATGTCTCCGTGCATGACGAGACGAGGTCGCACCGATCGCATCGCGCTCCTTGGACGCAGCGTCCAGCATCGCGAGCATGTGCTCCATCTCGCGCAGCTCGTCGTGCAGCTCTTGCTTGCGCTTGAGCTGCTTTGCTTCATGGCGTCGCCACGTGCTCACGGACGCACGGAGCGCGTCGTACTTTTCGCGCAAGTCCGAGATGGCAGCCACATACCTAACAACGCATACAAGTGCGATGCATGCTTCTTACGAGGTCTATACGCGCTGCTGTCGGTCGTATTGAGCTCGAGCACACTCGCTGCTTGTGCCATGAGGCGGATGTGCTTCTGGCTCGCCTACGAGCCATATCTCCCGTCGGCGTCATGAAGGTACGATGGCTGCACCCACCGAGGACAAGTCTTCTTCGCGCAGACCAATGTACTGTAGCAGGTCGGCGTGGAGCGCATGCTCGCGCTGCATGTCCTTCCGCAGCAGCTGCCGGACGGCCTCGGCGCTCTGGGTCGTCATGAGTGGCAAATCTTTTTTAGATTCGGCATGCTTGCCACATATGCCGCATGCAGGCATTCCGGCAACACCACGATGTGGCGCGCGTTGCTCTCCCACGCAAATCGCGCATCGTGCGTTCACCGCATCAGCGCTGTTGTTTATCTGCAAGTACGTGACCTCGTCCGACTGTGCACTAGGCCCAAGGTGCGAGGGCGATGCTGCCAACTCGTATTCGGCACATGCCGAATATAATATGTAAGAGACTGGGGTCGAATATATCGAGTATGAGAGGGCAATGAAACGATTGGTGGAATCGACTGGAGCAAAATATTGGATCGGGTCACAGCCCATTTCCGCAGCAGTCATGGCCGAGCCGCCGAAGAGCAAGAAGCACCGCAAGGACAAGCCGTGGGACACGGCCGACGTGGCCCACTGGAAAGTCGACGTACGTGCTTTAGGCCATGAGTGGTGAACCTGGCTAATTCGATGGCGATAGCAATGGAAGGACGAAGAGAACCCGACGGGCATGCTCGAGGAGAGCTCGTTCGCGACCTTGTTTCCCAAGTACCGTGAGAAGTACCTCCGCGAAGTGTGGCCGATCGTGACGAAGGCGCTCGATGCGTTCAAGATTGTGTGCGAGCTCAACCTGATTGAAGGCTCGATGACCGTGCGCACGACGAAGAAGACGTCCGACCCGTACATCGTGCTCAAGGCGCGCGACCTCATCAAGCTCCTGGCGCGCTCGATTCCTGTCAACCAGGTACTCATCTCTATGGCATTGAAGAGCAGCTGGAACGAGCGATGCGCGTAGGCCATCAAGATCCTCGAGGACGAGGTGCAGTGCGACATCATCAAAATTGGCGGTCTCGTGCGTAACAAGGAGCGCTTCGTGAAGCGCCGCCAGCGCCTCGTCGGCCCCGACGGCGCGACGCTCAAGGCAATCGAGCTCCTCACCAACTGCTACGTGCTCGTGCAGGGTAACACGGTCTCGGCCATGGGCCCGTACTCGGGCCTGCGTCATGTGCGCAAGATTGTCGAGGACTGCTTCCACAACGTCCACCCGATCTACAACATCAAGACGCTCATGATCAAGCGCGAGCTGTCCAAGGACCCGGCGCTCCAGGGCGAGAACTGGGACCGGTTCCTCCCCGTCTTCAAGAAGAAGAACGTGCAGACGAAGAAGCCGCACACGGTGCGCGAGAAGCGCGAGTACACGCCGTTCCCGCCCGCGCAGATGCCGAGCAAGGTCGACAAGGAGATCGAGTCGGGCGAGTACTTTATGAAGGAGCACGAGCGCAAGGCGATGAAGAAGGCGGCCAAGCAGGCCGTGAACCTCGAGGCCAAGGAGGTCCGCAAGGCCGAGAAGGCGGCGACCTTTGTGGCGCCGAGCGAGAAGGAAACGCAAAAGAAGCGCAAGCGCCAGGAAGACACGGCCGCGACCGGGCCGTCCGTGCACGAGCTCAAGGCCAAGTTCCTCGCGCAGGGCTCGACCCTCTCGGAGAAGAAGAAGACCAAGCCGACGTCGTCCGTCAACGACTTTGTCGCGGGCTCTGTCTCGAAAGCCAAGAAGAGCAAAAAGTAAATTTGAGTTATACACTACCTACGACGAGATCCGTCATGTTGAATCATCATTATCGCGTCGTATTTATTACGAAGCTTATCGGTTTCGCACACCGTCGAGCTATAAGAACTGAAACCGTGACCGAGAAGAGAGTGCTCACGAGATAGTACAGCGCCAGCGATGCCCACACGGGTCCATCCGTCGTCCTCTGGCGAGGCTCGGCCGTGGTTGGGCCAAGGCCTCGTGCTTGCGATCCTCTACCTCGTACTTGCGACCATCGTGGCTCTCTGCACGTACAACCTCGACCGCATCGCCAACACACCGGTTCAGCTCGGGCTGCAAATTCACACGTTTACGTACAACCAGTGGAACGTTCCGATCACGACGCTTCTCCGAAGCTCCACAAGCGTAGCGCCTCTGACCAACGACACCTACTCGCTCAGCGACCTCCTCTACAAGACGTGCGGCACGCGCGATCACGCGTGCGCGGCCGGCTTTTTAAATGCGACCAACGCCATTTGGGGCCATGTCGCCAAAGCGTTTTTGACGATCCCCGACTTTGACCAGCCGCGCTTCCAGGACCCGAGCCAGAGTGTTAGGATCCAGCACATTAGCAATCTCAACGGCTGGAACAAAGCGACGGCGCAGTTCTCGATGCCGGGCCATGACGTGGCCATGACGTGCATGATTCGACGGGCGAGCTTCCGTCGACGGTCGGCGCCCGCGTCGACGCCGTCGACGATCGATACGCTCGCCTTTTGCTCGCAGCGCGCCTTTGATCCGAACTGGGTTTGCGAGAATGATGTTGCCCCGAGTGTCAACACGTATGCGATCCAGGTCAACCAAGGCAAGGGCGTGTACGTGGGCGTCACGCCGCGCCACCAAGTGCACTTTAACCCTGGTGCTGTGGCCACGTTGACGGGCAATGGCACCATCTTGCTCGAGACCGTGCCGTCCATGGACGAGTACGGCGCCGGGATTCTCTCGATGAATGCGCCGTGGGACGTACTGACCGCCGGTAGCTGCGCAACGTTCAATGAAGCGACGGGCCTCGGCTGGTTTATGAAGGTCCAAGGGCTCGTGACGATGACGTGGAAGTGTGACTCGCTCATGCTCACAAATGCCATGGCGCTGTGGGCCCTTACGCTGGACTTGACGGTGATGCAGATCGTGTACCTTCGGCGCAGCGTCATCTGCTGCGGCCCCGTGTACATGGCCAAGAACGTTATTGGCCTCGTGATCCTCCTCGTGGCCTTTTACGGCAACAAGAATCTCCAGACGCTCACGACGTTTCTGTACATTAGCCCTAGCCACGACCCGGGCTGCTTTGCGCACTGCGGGCCTGCGCAGCTCGCCTCGATCGTCGGGATTATGACGGGGACGCTCGTCCAGACATGGTTCAATCCGCGACTGGTGACACAGACGTGGCTCCTTCTGCTCGCGAGCCTTGTCAACTGGATTCTGGTCTTTGTTCTCGAAGCGTTCGTGTTCCCGTCGCTGAGCCATGAAGTGCCGGGGCCGTGCGGGTCCCCGACCGCCACCAACTGCATTGCGTTCCACATGATTGAGCGCACGCACTACCTCTCGGCCGTCGCGTCGGGTGTCGTCATCGTCGTCGCCATCCGAAGTGTCCAGTTGGATACGAAACGCAGTGCCGCGCGAAGCGTGCACGCGCCCATTGCACCGACGCACTCGCTGCTGACGTACCTCGCCGTGACCGACCTGGCGTCGATTGTGACGTCGCAGCGCGGACTCACCAAGACGGTGCAGCGTGGCGGCAAGGACGTCGTCGCTCTTGATTCTGGCGTCCTTCTCATCAAGAGCATGGTTGAAGTGTCCCGGTCCGCCATCACACGCACGTCCAACCTCCAGCTTGAGCTCATCTACCGCCATTTACCGTTCGTATGGCTCCAAGCCTACATGAACCGAGCCATCGGGTCCATGCTCGTCGTGCATGTCAAGGACCATATTATTTTGCAGCGCTCGAGCTATCAGTGCCTCGGCGACATCCTCGCAGCACGTGAGGACGAAGACGCCGATGATGATCCGATCAAGAGCTACCTCCTCTGAAATGTTCACGATATAGCCCAGGGTTCCCCGCTCCTTGGCAAAGACAGCAGGTGCTCTCAACGTCGTGAACGACCGTCGAGGCCCTCGGTCGTACTTGGCGCTCGCTCGACAAGAGCACTTGCCAGTGAAATGAGAGTCCTTGCAAGCACGTACCCTTCCGACATCAGCTACTGTATACTAGTAGTAGCATTTTCCGCCACCCTTCGTGAGTGGTTTGATGTGCGATATGCTCTTTAATCAAGTCGACAGACATGAAAATGTTTAAAAGGACTATTAACGACCTTCTACTGCGGAGCGATGCGCCACGCCGAGAGGGGCAAGTGCTGCAGCGCGACGAGGCGCTGGTACACGAAGAGGAGCCAGAGCACGCCAAAGAGCGTGCAGAAAGCGACTTCGGTGAAGTAGCCGTCCCAGATCATAGTGCACGAGCCGCCGACGCCTTCGCAAGCGACCTTGGTGTGGTGCGTCGCGCACGCATTCGTCTCGTCGCTCGAGCAGACGCGGGTCGTCATCGAGTCAACGAATGCAAGGCTCAGCGAGTTGGGCCACTAGCCAATCGTACTCAGGAGGGTAGAGTGCAGTAGTTTGTACCTTGGAGCCGAGGTTGGAGACGGTATTGAGGTACGTCATGTACGTGCCGCCAATCGACGGGTCGCTCACTTGGGCGAAAAACGCCATTTGCGGCACGTACATCATGTTGGCCGCGACCTCGTGGAGTGCGCCTGAAGCCAAAATGAAGAGGTAGTAGTAGTAATGCACGTCTTCGTGGTGGCCCATCACGGTCGGCGTCGCCGCCACGATCGCTGCGTAGAGGAGGCCAACGACGAGTCGGCACGGAATGCCGTAGAGGAAGAGCTGGAGCGGCGCGTCCTTGCGAATGCGGTGGCTCAAGAAGACCGGGAGGAGGATGCCCAGCGGGACGAGGATGGGTGTGAGCATCGCCATCTTCTCTTTCTGGAGGCCATACTCGACGAGCTTGAGCGCCGAGACAGCGTCGGTCGCAGCAAACGCCACCTTGACGGTGAGCAGCACGGCCGTGAGCGACAGGACGGATGGAAGCCGCAGCACCGAGAGCATCTGCTTGTACGTCTCGAGGATCGAGAGGCTCTCGGCGGTCTCAGGCTTTTCGGTTTTGCAAAGCCAAATGAAGAGCGTGGTGCCACACATAACATAGCCCCAGAACCCCATAAAACCAGGCAAGGTCACGAGTCCTATGAAGAAACATGAGTGGACAAAGGGGACTCCAACTCTTATGTACCTGCATCCGGGTTTGGCGTCGACCGAAAGTACGCGTCGCACGTCGACGGATCGTAGAGCGCAAGAAACCCGACGTACGCGATGAAGTACCCGAGCGTTTGGCCGACCGAGTTGCACGTGGACGCGTACCCGACGTTCTTGGGGTGCAGCATCGTGAGCGCCCAGCCGTCGACCGCAATGTCCTGCGTCGCCATGAGCGCATACAAGACAAAGAAGAACGCCGTGAGCGCCACCACGTCGGGCTCGTCCATGGCGAGGACGCTGCCGACAAAGGGGCCACCAAAGACCATGAGGCCAGCGCAAAGGAACTGGACGGGAATGAGCCACGACTTGCGCCGGCCAAAGGTTTCCGAGTAGATCGCGTCGACGATCGGCGCCCACAGCAGCTTGAGGCTAAACGGCCACGACACCAAGCTGAACGTCGCCTGTTCGGCGTAGCCGACCTAGTCGCTTGCGTGGGGCGATGGACATGCTGCGACAGTCTGTACCTTTTCTTGGAGCAGGAACGGAATGCTGGACGAGAGGCCCATCGGAATTCCTTGCAGCGTGTAGAGCACGAGCAAGATGAGGATGGACCCGAGGTCGCTGTGGCTCGCATCATCCTCAAGGACGGTCGCGTGGGTCGCCGGCGGCGTGACAGTCTCGGTCGGCGGCGCCGCCGCCTTGCGCTGGCGCAGGCTGCTGCTCGTGGCCATCGTCGTGTCGGGAATGAGCAATCGGCCACCACGTGGCATGGAGGATTGCCGCGACTCGTTTCGACCAATCACATGACGCCGTTGCCGCACTACGGATAACCCTCAACTATCCGGAATCGAGCGCATTCGAGCGCTTCGAAGCGGTGGCGTCCTTTCACACGTGCATTTCACACACGTGCGAAGTATTTCCCACGGCACGGTGACGTCGGATTCGCGCCACAACGCGTCTCAAGTGGACGCTGTGTCGAGCTTGCTTGTAGAACTGAGTCCTCTCTGCGTCTCGCTTCCAGTGTGCTGGCGTTGTCGCGCCGTCCGTTGCAGTCTTTTCGCCCAGGTTCCGAGGGATGCGCCGTCGTCCAAGTCCAAGTGTACACATCACGACGCCCATTGCACCGTTGGGATTAATGTACCCGCGAGGCGGCCTCCTGGCCGCACATTTCAATTCCCTTGTCGTTGCTCACGCTCGCAAGACGGGTTGGTCACACCGTACGGTGCAGCTCATCGTCGTCACTTGCTCTTTCCATCCGAGCGGCCTCCTCACGCAAACCTACTCTTCAACACCAACGGGACGACGTGGCGTCGATTCTGTGCGCCACGATCCACGGTAGTGTACTGTACATGGTCTCGCGTGTCTTTCCTAATCTGTAAGTGGATCAATGTCTCTTCGCTCGACGGCGAGGAGCAAACTTGAACGAAATGTGTGGACGCGGTCCACTGACGGCCTGCGACACCCCGCCTCGCCCTCCTTTCGACCCGCGTCGTCGTCGTCCATCGTTATGGCCGTGCCTGCGTCGCGACGGCGCGGATGGCAACAAGCATCGCCTGCAATAAGATCTCACTGCTTTTTTCAGCTATTCGTACTCGACTGAGATGGCACCAAGATCTATGGAAGCCACGCAAATGAACGGGCGGTTGTCGGTGTCGCTGCCAGCGGTTCCAATGTGTAACGGCAGGTGGTTGGGTCTCGTTTTATTGCTTTCACAACTTTTCATACACAAACGCCATCAAGTATAAACATTGCATTAAATCAAACAGACCAGCTGGCCGCACTTGAGCGTGACACACGGCGCACTTTAGAGAGTCCACGGCCTGGCACTGCCAACCCGGCAAAGTACGTCGTCGAGGCAAACCGGGATTGGGCGAGTAGTAGACAAAGATGGCTCCGTCGCAATGGCCGCTGGACAACGGCAGCATTAGCTCCCCCGCGCTGCGCTGCGGCTCCAAGAACGTGGCCTCGTGCCTGCGCCGCGTGCAGTGCAGCGCCGTGCTCTTCGCGGTCCGCGTCTCGAAGCGCCCGCGGCTGCTGCGCCTGCTCGCGGTCCTCGTCGCGCTAGGCCTCGGCGTCGCGTATTGGTACCACAAGTACTTCAACATCAAGCCCGTCTTCCGGAGCGACATGGACACCACGATGACGACGGTCCCGCACTTCAACGCGGACCAGATCCACACGCGCTGGACCGACGAGTCGTTCGAGTGCATTGGGTGGCACGAGACCGACACGTGCGAGCCCGAGAACACGTACCCGCGGCGCGAGCTCGAAAAGATGCGGTCGTGCTCCGATATGGTCGAGCGGCGCAAGGCCGGCTACTGCGAAGTGCGCAACCGCACGAGCGGCGAGACGCTGCGCCTCATGGTCACGTCGTGCCGCAGCATCGTCAACCGCGACTTTACGTGCGATATGGCCCGGGACTTTTCCGAGTTTTCGCTCCTCGCCAAGCACTACCAGCACTCGCCGATGGCCACGTCGTTGACGCTGCCGACCGCGCAGCAGCACCCGCCGACGAATGCGATCTTGATGATTGTCTACGACAAGGTGCTCCCGTCGGCGTACGCAGCGATCCGCGTTTTGCGCGACCACGGCTGCCAGATCCCGATCGAAATGTGGTACCGTCCCGACGAAATGTCGGCCGACGTGCCCCTCATCCACGAGCTCACGCGCAACTACAACGTGCACATGCGCGAGATCTTTGACGAGCGCGCGCGGGGCTTCCACACCAAGCCGCACGCGGTCTACTACAGCGCGTACGACAACATTTTGCTCTTGGACGCCGACAACATTCCGGTGCGCGACCCGAGTTACCTCTTTGAGGACGCGACGTTTCTGCGGGAAGGCGCGTTGTTTTGGCCCGACTATTGGCAGCCGACCAACTCGCTCTTTGACGTGCACAGCCACTCGCTCGTGTGGCAGCTCCTCGGCATGGACTTCTGGGACCAATTTGAGCAAGAGTCCGGCCAAGTGCTCATCAACCGCCGCATGGCCAAGGACGCGCTCAACAAGCTCATGTACTACTCAACGCACGAGCCGCACCTCATCGACAAGCTGTCGCTGGTCTGGGGCGACAAGGATCTCTTCCGCCTCGCGTGGCGCAACACGTCGACGCCCTACCACATGATTGCGCGCCCACCGGCCATCGGCGGCATCTACAGGTACAAGAACCTGTCTCGGATATCTCGATCCGCTCACAGAGAATGCATCTAGCTACGCGAAGCGCATCTTTTGCGGCCTCGCCATGGTGCAGTACGACCCGTCGGGCAACATCATTTTCTTCCATCGCAACTCGGTCAAGCTCGACGGGTCGGCGCACCAGCCGCACACGATCACGCACATCCAGCAGTACCGGGCGTCCCACCCCGTCTCGGACTACCGCGTCGGCCAGATCATCGCCGAGCTCAACCAAGAGAGCTGCTACCACATTCGCTCCAACACGACGATCGACGGCGAGTTTCCGACGTTCATCACGCCGATCGAGTACACGCCGTACGCTGCGATCGAGCCGGCAGCGATCAAGTACTCGATCATGGGCCGGAAGCTCCACGAAGCCGGCATGGCGCATCGGCGCGTGGGCGAGTCGCTCGTGTACCTCGGCGTCATTGGCGCCGTCGTGCTCGTCTATTGGCAGTACGCCAAGCGCGCGCAGGGCAAGCACCTCCCCGCGCGATGGAAGTCGTACTAGCAAGTATTTCTCAGTAGAGTAAGAAGTAGAGTAAGATGATGAAAAAGAGAATTGCATGCGTCGTGTGGGCTTGGTCGCAATGGAGAGCGCACTGTCCGTGGGTCATGGCACCCAAGTGCGTCCTGGAGCCACCTCACGTGTCCATATCAGCTGCGTGACGACAGCGAGGACGCCACTCGACCACGAGCTAACCCCCCGCATTCGTCGTGGACAGGCTTAGCTGTGATCTCTCTGCGCCAACTTTCCGTTCATCTTCCGAGCGCAGCGTCATGCGAATTCAGAGCCATTGCTCGGATCAGCTCGTATGTTGGTGGCATACTAGTACTTTGCCAAGAGACGAGTTTGCCTTGAGCATACCAAGGAGGTAGAAGAGGATTTCTACTGAAAAGCTACGCTGGTGCGAGGTGCCTGACAAGGAATCGCGCCTATCTCACCATCAAGTTCGGCGCAAGGCAGCCAAGTGCGGCCTCGGATGGATCAGGACGTTCGTTGCCATGGTGGATCAGCTCGTTGGTGGGTTTGCGGCGGGCTCGCGACAGGCTCACGGCGCAGCAGAAAAGTACGACACCTGTAAAGAAGCAAGTGTGGGAGGACATATCCTAGACAAGCAAGCCATCGTTCAAGAAGGTGTCGCGTGCGCTTGCTCGTAAATTGGTACTAAACAAGAACACTAATAGGAGGACGAACGGGCGCCATATAATAATACTCTTGCATAGATTTCAGCCTCCGAGCATCCATCCAATCATATTTTCTGCATTGCGATCTGCGCTCGCCTCAAGAAACGAGGGGCCAAGCTTGAAGGATGAAAACACATGTCCCGCGATGTTCTGCGAACGCGTGGTGTGATGGACAGAGAAATGTGGGGCCCTCGAGGTCCTTTCGCACAGTGGATTCGAGTACAGTACCGGTGGCTGTCTATTTCAAATCCCCGCACTTCTCTGCACCTCCTTTCGATTTCTTGGGCCGCTTTTTTTTTTTGGCCGCCGCTTCAATCCTCTGTCGTGTGCCGGGTTGTTGCGTAGTAGCTTGGTACTAGCGTGGTAGCTTGGTGGTGCTGCTGGATGTACGGAATCGAACCGGGTTCGTCGACGCCGCCTTCTGGTCCGACCGACGCCTTGTCGTCGTCGTCGACGAGAAGCAACAGCGAGGTGCCAAGGACGAAGGGGACTCGTCCAGCTGCGCGCATCCGCCCTTCTTTGCGAGCGTCGGATTCTCGATACGGATCATCCACCTCTTGCGGGATGCCACTGCCATGGCGATCGCTTTGACGCGCCAGCTGGTGCTCCCAGCGAAGGATCCATCTGCGCTGGAAAGACAGGCGTGCAGGGTTGTCATGTTGTCGTCGTGGTCGTGGAGGACCAGCTTGAGGTCCTGCCGTCGTTGGCCCCCAAGGACTCGTTTGTACGAGGCAGATAACATCACCATCCACGTACGCAGGCGAGGATCGGTGCGAGATGGATGCTCACGACGCGCATCCAGGTACGAGTAGTAGGTGCGTGGGACGTTATCACGGGCGTTGGACGCTCGCATTGAAGTTCAAGCGCGATCGTGCTCGTGCTGCGTGAGTAGCCAGCCGTCCAGGCTGCAGACTCTTCCTTGAAGCAATGAAGCAGCTCTAACTAGGGTCATCACTTTTGCTTTCACCGCCTCCAGCAACCATGGGTCTCGAAGACGGCAAGGACTACGAAGCGGTTGCCACACCCGTCGACAAGGGCCTCGATGATGAACCCGCCGTCGACAAGCCTCTTGAAGGCTGCTCGATCGCGTTCATGATCCTCCTCTGTGCGCCCAAGATGGCCATGAACATGGCCTGGGCTGCGCAGTGGGCCGCCCTCGGCCCCGTGCTCCAGATCCTCCTCACGTCGTCGTGGGTTCAGGTCGTCCAGCTCGTCGGCCCCACGTCTGGTCTCCTCGTGGCGCCGACGATCGGCGTCCTCTCGGATGCGTGCACGTCCAAGTACGGTCGCCGCCGCCCGTACCTCTTCTGGGGCGCGATCACAAGCGCGCTCTGCTGGCTCGTCATGATGCACGCCGTCGACATTGGCGAGGCGCTTGGCGACACCAACACGACCATGATCAACAAGTACGTCGCCGACAAGACCGAGACGCTCATCGACCGCAAGTGGACCACGGTCTTTACCGTCCTCTGCTACGTTTGGATGGACATTACGTGCAACATCACCCAGGTCCCCGCGGGTCTCATCATCGCCGACTTTGCCGGCGATCGCCAAGTCACGGCCGCCTCGATCGGCGGCGCCTACTCGATCGCGGGCTCGTTTGCGGTCTCGGGCTACATCCTCTTTTTCGGCGCTGCCCACGAGTCGATCAAGTCGTTCATGACGATGCTCATCGTGATCATGCTCGTGACGACGATGGCGGTCGTTATCTTTGTCAAGGAGACGCCGTACGTGCCGCCCGTCCAGCGCGCCAAGGGCGCCGAGATCAAGGCGGCGTTCGTGGCGGTCTGGACCGGTATCAAGATCCTACCCAAGACGCTGGCCTACTATGCGGTCTGCTTCGTGCTCATCCAGTACGGCTTTACGGCCTACAACGGCGCGAAAGGCCAGTTCTTCGGCCTTGTCGTCAAGGGCGGGTCGGCCGAAGGCGCCGACAAGTGCGGCTCCAACTGCACGGAAGCGCAAACGAACTTCAACGACGGCGTCCAGCTCGCGAGTGGCACGACCGACACGATCTACAACTGCGTCTCGCTGCTCTTCCTCGCGGTGCTCCCGTACCTCGTGCGCAAGTTTGGCGCCAAGGCCGTCATCACGGGGACAACGATTCCGCAGATTCTGCTCATCGTCATGGCGTTCTGCAAGATCATTCCCGTGGACATGATCATTGTCATTGCGTGCTGCATGACGCAGAACACGATCTTCTCGCTCCAGATCCCGACGATCATGCACGTGGTCGGCCACGGCACCGAGAACAACCTCGGATTGTTTGCTGGCGCGTTCAACTCGGCCAACTGCCTCGGCCAGTTCCTCAACTTTGCCTTTGCGAGTGTCCTCGTCAAGACCGACATGGGCTACGCGCTTCCGGTGCTTGTCGGCGGTGTCTTGAGTGCACTCGCGTTCCTCGTCGCCTTCTTCAAGCTCGACCTCAAGATGAACACGATGTAATCGCCATCTATCTTTTTTATATCCCTCAAATGTTGTGGTCGTTCTTGATATCTTGATATTTGATGGACACAAAGCGGCGATGAGCTTCTCGACGACGCAGCCGCCAATGTAGGCTGTACTGTCGTGCGGAAGCATCGCCGCCGTCGCCGACTTCGAACCCGCAACGAGCTTCCTTTGGAAGCACAAGCACACTGCAAACACGCTGCGCTAATAGTAACTCAACGCGGTCTATCAGCTGTTGTCCATTTCGTTTTTCCACATTTTCTGTCTTTGGTGACCATTCTGTCTTTTCCTGATTTGCATTCTGTCTTTTCCTGATTTGCATTCTGTCTTTTCCTGGTTTGCATTCTGTCTTTTCCTGGTTAGCATTCTGTCTTTGCCTAATTTACATTCTGTATTTCTGATTTCCAGACACTGGATGGAAGAAAGGCAAACAAGATCTTAGTACGGTGGGCGTGAAAGGTCCCAAACTTCCTGCGATGGCCAAGCTCGTATGGATGCGATGTGCTTACCGAGGCCTCATGCATCTATTGCGGTAGAGAGACGGTGGGCGGTGGGCGCCGCACGCCATGTACCTCGGGTTCCTCGCGCTCATCGGGCTTGTCCTTGCCTTGAACCTCGTCATGACGCGGCAGCTCTCGATGCAGTCGCTGCGGCGGTCCCAAGCGGAGCCGAGCAGAAAGATGGACTTGTTTGGTGATATCCTGCACCTCAACAACCTCAACGAAGCATGCTTCCACGCCGGCGACGTGGTGATTCCGTGGACGTACAACAGCTCCAAGGTCGACGCCAGCTACGTCTGGACACCGCGCATGCAGATTGTGGAGCTCCTGGCGCAGTGTCCCGAGGTCGACGTCTTTTTACCGCCAGGTCTGCGCAACCACGGGTACTGCGAAGACGGTATGGCGTACGTCAAGTTTCTCAAGTCGCGCGCACTGCCCATTTGGGTCTTTGATTTAAGATTCAATTACCAAGGTCGAATCTCAACCTCAATCTCAAAGTTGTACTGACACGTTGATTTGTAGGCCGAAAAAACATCAACTATTTCGACTTGTGCCCCAAGACAGCCATGATCTTCATGAACCACTACACCGACGGCCTTTTGGACCGCCCCGACTTTCCCAAGGTACAAACCAACAAACAAAAACAGTACAATCTCAATCTCAACACTTGTTGTGTGATAGGAAAAAAAATCATTTTGATGCCCAACATTGAGATGTTTGAGCTCAAAGGAAACGACTTCCAGCGCTTTGACGCAGTGTTGTGCAAGACCCGCAACGCCTACGACCGGCTCACGCAATGGTGCGTCCTTCTCAAACCCACAATTTTTGAGATTGTAAATCGAATTAGAGAATGTCATTATTCTCGCGAGTAGGTTTCTCGACCATGGCAACCCGCGCGACACCAACGTGCTCTACGTGCAGCACACGTCGTCGGACCCGTCCACAGCCGCGCTCGTCCACGCGCTCTCGCACCCAGAGCTTCCACCGATCAAGGCCAAAGACTTTGACAAAATCACATTCTTCCACGCCAGTGGCCACAGCGCGCAGAAAAACACCAAGCGCATCTTCCAGTGCTGGGAGAGCCGACCGGATCTGCCGCCGATTGACATTTACTCCATGTACAGCGGCGTCAAGGAAGACTTTGATGAGATGTTTGGCGCCACGGGCGCACCCGCCAACGTTCGTTTTCACTTTGGCGAGGACATTGACGTGGCTCACTTTGGCCGCCTCCTCCTCGAGTCGAGCGCGATCTTGTGCCCGAGCAAGATGGAAGGCTTTGGCCACTACATCAACCAAGCACGCGCGTCCGGCGCGCTTGTCTTGACGACGAACGGGCCGCCCATGAATGAGTTTGTCGATGATGACTCTGGTGTCCTCATTGAAGCCTCCCGCCTCAGCCCCAACCGTACGATCCTATTTGTGTTGTTTGGATAAGAGGAGTGACCTTGCGTGCTTGTAGGAACCAGCTTCTGAGCATCTATGGCGGCATGGAGTGGGACGTGACGTCGCACGCGATTTGCGACGCGGTCGACAAGGTCGTTGCCATGACGCCGGCACAGCGAGAAGCGCTCGGCATGCGTGGGCGCTTCCGCTACGAGCAGCAGCTCGTCGAGTTTGATGCCGCGATGCGCCATGTTCGGATGCTCTTTGACCTGTAGCCAACGCAGAGTCTCATGCGTTGGCACCGGTAAATTTGTAGCTCCCTCGTCGCCTTTATCGCCCCTTATCAAGTCCCTCTCAGCTATGAAAATACAGTATTAATACCTACAAGTCCTCTCCAACCACCATATCATTCCTTGTACGACGACACCTTGTCCACACTGGAATAAACGCTCATAGTGTGCACATTGCACAACCGTGCATGTAAACTGCTCTTGACTTTCGACTCAATGCGACGACGGCAGCGACGAGGCTTGGCCGTCGCGGAGGCAAGGCGTATGGAGGCCGCAGGTCGGAATGCGGTACGTGCCTTCTCGCCAAGATGCAGAAATTAGGATTGGAATCTAACGGACAGGCCACCCGTTTAATCATGCCCGTTGTTGTTGAAGTGAAGAAGGGAGTCTATTTATTTGATGTATAATTTACACTGAACGGGATACGGTGGTGGATCCAAGGTGCTACGACGGCCGGCCGCCGAGATGCTTAGCCGAGCGGGAGACGTGGCGTGTGAACGGCACATGCCGGAACAAAGTTTGTCACGTAGTCATGCGTCGTGCCGCAGCGCTGCCATCAATTGGAAGAGGCACAATGCTGGAGTGTTCAGCAGCAGGTGTTGGAGGTGCAGCTTGGTCAAGAACGCGGCTCGTTGGGCGGCTGCCGCAGGCGTCACAAGGGGCGCCGGTTTAATCATGCCCGATAATGGCAACTTGCCAGAGTTGCTAACATCACCCATCGCCGTCTGCCAAATATTGATTGGAGACCACATGGCGGCACCAATCACAGCTTGCTGAGCTGCATAAGCGCTCATATGATAAGCGATAAGCGCTAGGCGTCGTCACACAGGTGTCTAGACTAGCTCTTCGATGATCCTATACCAAAAGTTGAGCCCATGATTGATTCGCCATGGCGATGGTTTATTCAATACTGTAAAACCAAATCGATTTGGTCCGGAAACACATGTTGTTTTGTGGATGGGAACGAGAGCGACCACGCTCGCTCAGGTGGTCAACGGAAACTCGAGCGACGCAAGCGAATCGTGCTTTGACAGGTTTTCAGCGCGTGCCCAGACAAAATGTTCGTGCACAATTCCGTGCACACGTCACATGTAAAACGTTGGACAGCGCACCCTCCGTGTGTCCGGCGTGTCCCAAGCCGTCGCTGGATCTTTGCCGACTGCTGTAGGGCCATGGCTGGGTCAGTTCAAGTTTTATCACAGACGTGGCATGGCCAACCTCGTCGTACGACCGAGACGCTTATGCGAATGCGACTCACGCCCTCTTCTTGTGCTTAGAAAGGACGATCGGTTTGGTCACTGCGCCCCAACATCGCAAGCTCGCGCTCGCCGCGTTGGCAGCGTGCGCCTTTACACTGCACTCGATCGTCTTTAGTAGCGTGCCGCAGCGCCCGCTCCTGCGCAGTAAGGGCGACGTGTCCTGGCCCAACGTCTTGTCCATGCGCACAGCGTCCGTGCACAGCTCGGACAAGGACGACGACCTCTTTGGCGACATAGTGCACCTCAACAACCTCAACGAAGCCTGCTTCCACGCCAGCGACAGTATCGTTCACTCGTCATACAACAGCTCGGATGTCGACCTCGCCCAGCTCTGGACCCGCGACGAGACGCCACAAAACGAGCTCGTTGCGCACCTCGCGCAGTGCCCCGAGGTCGATGTCTTCCTCCCCGCCGGCCTGCGCGACCACGGGTACTGCGAAGACGGTATGGCGTACGTCAAGTTTCTCAAGACACGTGCGCTGCCGCTCTGGGTCTTTGATTTGCACTTCGACTACCAAGGTCAAATCTCAATCTCAATCTCAACTAGGATCTGACATTGTACTTTGATTTGTAGGCCGGAAAAACATCAACTATTTTGACTTGTGCCCGAACACGGCGCTGCTCTTTATGAACCACTACACCGAAGGCCTCATGGACCGCGACGACTTTCCATCGGTAACTTGTTTCTGGGCGCGAAAAGTGGTCTCACAACTATCATCCTAGGACAAGGTGGTTGTCAACATGCCCAACGTTGAAATGTACGAGCTCAAGGACAAGGACTACCACCGCTTCGACGTCGTCCTCTGCAAGACGCGCGACGGCTACGACCGCCTCTCACAGTGGTATTAGCTCCTTCCCTCGCTCCGCTATAAAGTGTGACGACGTCCAAATCTAGGTATAAGGACTTTGGAAACCCGCGCAACACGACACTGCTCTACGTCCAGCACACGTCGTCCGACCCGTCGACGGTGGCCATTACGCATGCGATGGCGCACCCGGAGCTGCCGCCGATCCAGCCCAAGAACTTTGACCAGCTCACGTTCTTTCACGCCAACGGCCACAGCTGGCACAAGAGCACACGCGCGGTGCTCGAGTGCTGGCAACACCGACCTGATTTCCCGCGGATCGATATCTACTCGAGAAACTTGTGGACTCTCGAGCATTTCAACGAAATTTTTGGTGACGACGGCGCGCCATCGAATCTCCAGTTTCACCACGGCGAGGAAGTCGACGTCGCCCAGTTTGGCCGGCAGCTCCTCGAAACGAGTGCGATCTTGTGCCCGAGTCGCATGGAAGGCTTTGGCCACTACATCAACCAAGCACGCGCGTCCGGCTCGCTCGTCTTGACGACCAATGGACCGCCCATGAACGAATTCATTGACAACAACTCAGGCGTGCTCATCGAGGCGACAACGACAGAGCCCTACTGGTACACACATGCGCCTGCGTCAACCAAGGAGCTTACAGTCGACATCGAATTAGGAAGCAGATCCTAAGCACGTACGGGACCATGGAGTGGGACGTTTCGTGGAAGTCGATCTGCGATGCTGTCGACGAGGTGCTCGCGATGACGCCAGACGAGCGGCGTCGGCGCGCCGTCAACGGTCGCCAGCGCTACGAGCAGCAGCTGGCCGCGTTCAAGGAGAACATGCAGCGTGTCCGAGCCCTCTACCCTTTCCGAGAGCTCGTGTAAGAGGACTGCTGTATATACCGGTATATATGAACGTGTGTCGCGTTATCTCCGTTGTTACAAAGAGTTCGCATATGAGAGACTAGCCATCTCCTTCATTCGCTCGCTGGGCTGTGGCTGCGCAGGCGGCGGCGGGGGGGCTTGTCTTGCTCTTCTGTGGTCGTCCGGGGGCGCTTGCGGCCGCGGGTGAGGCCCATGACGACACGCTGCGGAGAGACCTTCCAGGCTTTGCCGTCGGCGGCAAAGCTACCCTCGGTAAGCAGTTTATTGAGGTCCTTGAGAGACGCCAACGACTGAGACGACCACTGTACCGTAAAGCTTTTGACCGCGTCGACCACGGCTACTTGCTCGCGGTGCTCCGCAAGTGGGGTCTCCCGCAGCGCTTCTGCACCATGGTGCAATGCTTGTACTCAGGACGCCGCTCCAAGATTCTCGTCAACGGCGACCTCTCGTCGCCCTTCTGCATCAAACGGGGGGTACTCCAAGGGGACCCGCTCTCGCCTCTGCTCTTCGTGATGGCGCTCGAACCGATGTGCCTCCAGCTCCGCAACCACGCCCAGGAACGGCCTCCAGATCGACTCGACGACGCACGTCGTCAGCTGTTT